ATTATCTCAAACTTTGACATATTGGCAATACAATATGTGGAATTTTACTACATATGTAACTTCTTTTAAGAAAAATTCAGACATTTTGTATTTTTTGAAAATGCAATGAATGAATGTCATTGCTACTTACGTGCAATGCTCTGAACCTAATTATGATAAGTGTACCCAAGAATTCTATTTTACAGTCTAATAGACTGTACTAGTAAGTCATTAAATCTAGAGGTCGAGTGCATGTCAACAAATAGATAGGATTAATTCCTCAACTTCAAAGAGTAGTTTTTTTTTCATTAATTAAGTTCATCTGTATGCAATGGACGATTAAAGTTCTCAGGGTCAATACCCCAACCAAATCACAAATTGTAAGTTACTTCTCATCCCTGCACATTTCAGTGACTCCAACTCCAGGAATTCCAAAGACTTTTGAATAAAGAATATCAAGTTGTCACAGCCAAGCTGCAATCCAACAAGCTCCTACAAGAAAGATCTTAGAGAGAGACATCTCTACCAGCAAACTCTTAAGATAACTTGAGTAACACTTAGGTACGTTCAATAATAAATCAAAAGTTGAATCACAATAATATCAAAATACGCAGAATCAAGGTTCATAATTTTAAAACGTCATTTCAGCAACATTGATCGTCATCCTTGAACAAATCATTTATGTAACGTGAGTTCATGGTAAATTTCCATACTGTAATCTGCGCATGGAAATCTGCAAAATGTGAAATTGGACAAAATGGTTTTAATTCACTAGGATTTTGAAACAACATTCATTCATCATAATGCAGCATTCATAATAGCTCTTTTTGCATGACCACTCACAATCTCAATCAATTTCTTTGTCCATACTTTTTGAACATGATATATGCAAAGAAATATAGGGATATGTGGAAAAACAATGTCTAATGCAAGTCTCTCATTGTCAGCACAATCCATCATGAAGGAGTAGGGCATCCATCCAAGGATATAATGTTTGGCGATCTTCTTCACTGCAAATAATAATTCCATCAGATCTTGTGTTTCTTCTCTTTCGAGGAATCCAAAAATAGTTGGATGTCAGTGTTCATATTTGTCGAACACCATAAGGATGTACAATGGATATTGCATTGCAAAAAATAAAATAAACGTATGAGTTTGCTGCTAGCAGTCGTCTACAAAGTACTCTTTATCATTGATGCTAAGCTAAACTTGATAAAAATGAATGATTCACTATTTTTATGTATTGATAAGCTAGACGTGATCATGGTATATAAAACAACATATACAGCACACATTGAGAAGTTCAATAACGTCTTACTGGACATGTTAAAGCTCCAAACCGCCATTTTTCCCAGTATCTTGCAGTTATTGCACATTGTGAGGTAGAATATACATAATCATGAAAGCCTGATGATAAAAACATGAGAATGGACAAGTTAAATATTACCTTATACTTCTGCGTGCCATGCGTTCCATCCATAGCAACTCAACCTCCATTTCCATGTTTTAGCAATCTTTCTATGAGCAAGGGTTTTGTAACAACAAGCCTTAATAATTTTTTTGTATCACTTTTTGGTGCCTGGTATAGAACAACTTGAGATGAATTCGCTTTCATCCATAATTCTGTGCTAATTCTATCATTAACATGCCTTCTCCAAGTTTCTTTGTCGAGTTTCAATTTGATATTATACACATCAGCAGATGTGATATAATGAACTCTAAAAGGGGTCCCTTGCACATAGCATAAGCTTTGATGATTTTCAAATAGTGCTTTTGCAGCACGCATGAGAATTTGTGGAGGAGTTAAATCTCTTCTTAACTCGCATTCAACCCACTCCTTGGCAAAAGAACGTAGAAAATATTAGACAACGTGCTTGCTTAGCGTCAAAGTTTTACAAACTGTAATATTAGCAAACTTGTTGTACATATTACAAATATGACAGACAATTAACTGTGAACGATAAACAAATACATTGAAAATATTACAAATACGTCGTTACCTGCACTCGGAGGATAAATTGCGCGCCATCTGAGATTGCAAGCCAACACTATCCGGACACGCTGTGCCATGACAAGCTACATGTGCAGCATTTACGTGTCTTCTATGCTTGTATAACAACTTCGTCGTCCCTGGTGGAATGTGATCATTAGGCAGCAGTTGAATGACATTAAACCTACGCTAACAGCCCTTGTGGTGAGAATCATGATCTAATCTATACATATTGTCTGGACCGAGATGATTTCAATTGATGCGTGGATTGATGGATCTTGAATACAATTTGAGCTAAGCATACTCTTCTTGTCCCTTTCTTGAGTACCATATTTGCAATAGTACATTGTATACGATTCCCAACGGTGCCTAGCTCCTCAATCCTTGTATGAGCAACGTGTCACAAATTCCGTCTTCGCATCACTATAACAAGATGACTCTCCCAAAACAATATCGTTAAGCCTCGAGCTTTTGATGTAGACCGTCCCATTTGACCAATTCAAGATTAACGAATTGATAGGGTCATCCGACGGTGGATCCTCCACAATCCATCCTACCTTCATGTTGTCACCACACCTGAAAAAGCACCTGACATTGACAAAAAAAGTACAAGCACGAACTCTGGCATGAGCTTCTCACAACACTGACACAGACGTCCAAAAACGACGTTGAAACATCAACGAGTTGGAGGATATTGATGTGACCCTATTTTCAAAAGGGGACGACTAGGGCCACACCCGTTTTTGCTACGGCCACACCCGCTTTTGCTACGACCACACCCGCCCGCTAATTACCATGCCCATGCTTGTCAGTGGCCATTAGTGTCAGGAAACGAAGATGGAACACCGAGAGTATCATGGGAATACGAAATCGGCCCAGAAATCTTTCCTCGGATGAGAGCTCGGCGACCCATATTCAAGTCCCCCTCCTGCTACAAGGGGTGACGTCATCGTCCACCCATCCGGCTCCGGGGACGACTAGGGTCACACCCGTTTTTGCTACGGCCAGACCCGCTTTTGAACGGGCGGGTGTGGCCGTAGCAAAAGCGGATGTGGCCGTAGCAAAAACGGGTGTGGCACTAGTCGTCCCCTTTTCAAAAAACCTAAACTTTGCCGCCTAAAATTTTGTTGCCACAATATGTTATCACCGTTTGAATTACAAATATTACAGTTTGAATTTATTAGGGATTCCAATTGAACTATCCCTTATGCGGTTTAGTTTTAGTTTAACTAAAACAGCGGCCTCTAGAGTGACAGCCTCTATATGGTTGTTGGAATTTAATCCGGTTGACGGACTCTACATGGTTGTTGGAAAGTTGGGTCTGCCGACCCTCAAGTTCCTAGAACTGAGATAAAATCCAGCTGACTCGGGGCTGCCCGAATGGAGCATGAAGCAAGAAAGAAAGAGTGAAAGAAATTGGGATCCCTGACACCTGGCAGTACGGCAGTTTGTATAACTTTGTGCAACTAAGCTAGTCGATGTGAAAACGGCGGCTCGCGGAATTCAATACCGAAGTTCACGTGGCTGAATTACTCTGCCACCTCATACCCAGCGGTATCCGCATACTGCTATAAACAGCTCCTCCTTTGCCCTGCTCGATACCATGCCGAGCCCACTCCATAAACCCTAGATCTCTCTGTAGATCCGTAAGTGAGGGAGAGAGAGAGCTCTCTTGTCTACACTCTTCAGCCCTCATAAGTTCTACTCCTCTACTTCTTTGCCTTTGCCTTCAGAGTTTTCTAAAATTAGTGGGCTGAGCCGCCCTACTTTGTGTAACTGGAAATCATGTGTTTATGATAGAAAAAAATGAAGACTCAATTGAAAAAAAATTTGTTCATTTTTATATTTTTCAGATGTAAATATGTTTTCAAAAATAGTTAGTTTCAGATATTGAAGCATGCATGATTGCATACTTTACTTTAAATTTTGATTTGTTCAAGCAATAGACGTTACGATAAATTCAATCATGGTTAGACTTCAATAAAAATTGAAAGTTGTTAAGTTCTGAGTTTACATTAAGACTATTGGATGAAACATGTGAACACTAGCAATAATCATCCATGTAATTATGAATGCATCATGGCAAGAAACGATGTAACGTAGTACTATGGACGGGAAAATTTAAGAACGATGCTGAAATGGGAAGAGAAAGAAAGAGTTTCAACATTATAGAAATTATCTATAAATTCTGAACTTTATTTTTAAACAACTTAAAACTCTAGTAACATGCAATTTTCAGATTAAAAAAATAAGATCTTGAATAAATTTCTAAGTTTTACATACGCCATTTCGTTTATTTCTTGGAAATTTTTGTAAGATTGAAGCTGTAATATACCTCTTTAGTTTGAGGACTGTAAGGCTATATATTGGTTTTGAGTAAAAAAAAAAAAACATGTGAATTATACTTCCTAAGAAGTGATCAAGCTATTACATTTTTTTCATAAAAATCAATCAAAATTTGGACATACCTGAGATTTTTTTCTAGATCTTTGAAGATCACCCGGAGGTAAAGATTGGACTGGATGTTTTGTTGAGGTGCTCAGTAATCAAAGAATTTATTATTTGACTGAAAATTTTAATAAACTGAGCTTCAAATATTTGGGTGAGATGGATCAATCATTTGAGAACTGCATGGAAAAAGTATGTGCTCTAGTTGTATTCTTGAAAAATGGGAAGACTTCAAGACCCTACCTTGTACTTTGAAGGTATCTTGTCAACTTGAGGAATAGTATGACATCATTGCAAATTGTAATTTGAAATGTGAACGAGTTTTGAGTGATGATGAAAAAACTATTTGTGTAGTAGGGCATTGTGGTGAGTATGCAACTACTTGTCATTAAGATTCTTTTGATTTTATCTTGCGTATATTCATATCGAAGAAAAAAGTCATATTTTATCTATAGATGCCATGTAATGACTGGTCAACCTGCTGACAGCAGGTTGACCGTGCAAAAAAAGAGTGACTGAAACCAGTAGTAGCACCAAATGCGTTTCTTTGACCGAAGACTCTTTAAATGGATACTGGATAAACGTCCCAGTTCGCTTGGTGGGCAATGTTGAGGCATGCAGTAGACATGTTCGTACGGTGGTGGTCACTTGCCTACTACTGCGGCCCAGCCGTCAATGAGCACACTAGTTCCAGTCATCAATGATGTCAACCTCGCCTTCAGATGCTGCGCTAACGGAACTTGTCACTCGTCCAGGCTGGGCTGGGGCAGAAGAAGTCAAGGGATTCATTGAATGCCCATTGACCTCCTTTCATGAAGGGGATAGAGAGTTGCAGATGGAAGATGGAGATGGAAGATAAAAAATGGAGGTGTGCTCGTTGGATAGACAAGGTGAAGCTCTGTGTGGAGGGAGTTTGTGCTGATTTCCCACGCAGCTGCCATGAGAAGGATGATAAGGTGTTCAAGAAGCAATGGAGTCTGCGATCTTGCGATTGTTGTTTGGTTGCGATTGGTCTATTACTCTCGTCCTCCTCTTTGCAGCTGCCGTCATAGGCTGTGCCGCAATTCGGTACTGCCACATGTGGCCGATATCTTAGCCCCCTGATGGTGGACGGACTCAGGGCTGACTTTGAGAAAGTCAGAGGAGCTTCTGCTGATAACATTCTGGACGAGGAGGATTTAGCCTTGAAACTCCTAGCTTTCTTTCATCCTCGGCAAATCCCGTTCCCTCTCTAGCTTGCCCACTGCCCAATCTGCTTCCGTTTATCAAGGCCTTAAATGACACAGATTATGAGAGCTCAGTGTTTGCATCCCACATTTACCTCAGCAGTATGTATTAGGAGTTCAAAGTTCACATTCAGCCCTGTCTCGAAAGATTTGATGGAATTTTCTTGATCTTTGTTTGTGTGCTACTGGAACCCGAGTGTTGATCTTACTCCTGGTGAGTCTAGGGAAAATTATTACTGCTTTGTTTGCTTTCGAGTCCCGTGTACAGGTTACTTGCTTTCTCGTGTGAAACGGTACCGAAAGTGAAGCATGAGGCTATACAGTATCTATCTGGAAGAAATTTGAGACAAATCCCAAGATGGAAGTCTTAGTTTGGGCCCACTTTCTCTCCCCGTCCTCGATGATAGGATTCTCCTGTTCGAAACATTTGTGGTTATTGTTTGCGTGAATTTATCATGAGCTCTTGTAGTGTGAATTTTCATCCAACGATCTACAATGTGACATTCGGAAGTATGTTCTAAGAGAAAGTGTACAGGCTTGCTCTTGCCGATTGCAAGTTTCTTTTGGGGTAAATTCGTCGAGGTCGATCGGATCTGCTGCTCTGCCAAATTGATTGCCATATTCAGTCCCATGACTATCATTACATGTGGACTGTAGTCTTTCTACACGAATACAGAATTTGGATCTTTATGACAGATTTCTGCTCATGCCCGGTGTTTCGACAGAGTACAAAGCTGCACACTAGAGTAGATTATTGTGATGCTCATGGTTCTTAACATCGTCAGTCGGATGCACCCACGTGCTTAGAAGACCGAGAAATATAAATGTACTCTCTTGCTCTTTTCCTTTTTCACCAGCAAGCTTCATCGGATGGTACACGTGTCCAATGCCCTGTGAATGACATGTGTACACATGTTACACGTGTGCAGTGCACTTTTTACCCTTCGCATTGGTAAAAGATTCTTAGCTTGTGTCATCTTGTGTTTACCATGACAAACCGGATATATTTCGGTTGACTGTCAAATAAATATCTGAGATAGAGGTCTACGAGTTGACCAAGACAACCCGTCGTGTAAGATCAGGTTTCAGATTCACAGAATGTCATAAAGTTTGCTTCTATTATTTGTTAAGAGAGTGAGTTATCCATACTTCACTGAATCGGTGCTTCAGTTGGAAACCAGGAAGGTTTTCACCATGAACCAAGGCTGAATACTGAATGTACAGTGGAAGATGTGATTAGACTTGTCTTACATTTTTATCGCGTCTGTATTGAGCTGTCGAAGGCAAGATGTGGACCAGACATGTCCAAGGCATGAAGCCTGCACAAAATATAATGACAAGTACCTAAATATTTGTTCGAGAGGGTGGTAGTCGCCTTGAAGTCATGGGATGTTTTCTACCTTCATTTGTTCAACATTCAAAATTAAGTTTTTACAGCAAATTGCTTGAAATGATTGCATTCAACAAAGTGTGTGCAGCCTTTGGGGGTTCCACCTATAAGGTTTCTACAATTGGCATGAAGAAAGAGGAGGAGCAAAGTGGAAAGAACTGTCTCGGATTAACGAATTCGAAGCGTAATTAGTAAGCGGAAGTAATTAGAAGCGTTGGCTTCTACTTACTTTCATTGCAGCCGAAAGCATTCTAGAGAAAACTGTGAAACGCTCATTTCCTTCACAGAGAGCTGACATCCCTAGACGAGCATCAAAGCTATGGAGTGGGCTTTCAACTGGCTCCATCTCAGCTCTCCCACCATCAAGGCTCAAGAATCAAGTGTACCATTCTACTAAGCGTAATTTCCACTCTCATCTTCCTTCTCGGTTTATCTAGCGCAGTACATTGTACCAAATCTAAAATGCGCTCTGCTCAACTGAGCCGAGCTAATGTCTGCCAAGCCAAGACATTTTCTAGTATGAGGTGGTGGAAGTTCAGCAGGAAATACTTCTCTGGTACAATCCAATGAATCAGGTGTCAGCTCAAAAGCTAGTATGGGCCTCATGCCAACCACCGTTTTTCTAATCAGAAAGTAACTACAGAGATGATGTACTCCTCAACGGATCTGATGGTTGGATTGCTTTATCTCGAAATCCTACTTGTGTGTCGTACTCTACCTCATGCAATTAAAATTTCCAATATCCAACTGCCTTACAGTCCTCCCTTCAGCTAAAGTAATTGCAGCACAGCATATTGAACGAAAGGTTGTTGTACTTGGAGCTGAATCCGCAGATATTTACCTTTTTCATGACTGTAAGAAAAATAAGACCTTCCATCCATTGCTAGTTTCTAGAAGTTCATTTCATGTGGTTCTCGCACTCTACTGGTATTGGTAGAATATGATTCACATCGTGGTCCCGATGTAAATGGAAACTTTTTACTACCAAGAGTCAGCTGTGCTTTACTATAAAATCAGAGCTATGATTGAAATACTTACCTAGCGAAGTTGAGTAGATCGCAGATCCAAGGAATTCCTTGGATCTGCGATTAAAATACTTCAGTGTGGAACTGATGCAATCGTTTCCTTACAGTGATCTTTATAGGAGATTTATCCAATGACTTCGGAAAGATGGGAATGTACGAAACCTGTAAGTGACTCCAACATTCGGTTGAGAAATATATTCTAACTCAGCAACCAGAATCCACATGTGGAAATGATGATGACAAAAGGAAAAAGCGACGTAAAATGCTTACAAAACATGCAATTGAAGCTGAATTGTGCAGTCACAGACGGTACATATCATTTTGAGTTTCAAGTGTACTAATAACAGAATACTCTTATTACAGGGAAAATATCATCTTCATCTTTCAGAACTGAGGCAAATTTAAAAAATCAATCAGCAATAAAAGTTGGCAGACTCAGTGTCCTTCTACAGAGTTAGCTCTCATTCTTAACCTTTGAACTCGCCTTGCGCAGACTTACGTCCTGTATGTCAGTCTGACCGGTCGCACAGAATGCACAGAATGTACGTAAGTCTGACTGGTCAGACTTACATACATTCTGTGCATATGGTAGGACCTTGAGACTGTGCCCTGCTATGTGACTGAGAAACAGAATCTTCAAGCAGTCCATCTTGCAATGAAGGACTAGATCGATAAAGACACGCACTTACTTTGTGATCCTGAGTCCTGTCCATGAGAAGACAAATCCACGACCTGGCACTGAATCTCTAGTCCTACATGTAGATCTTGCTTTTCAACCGATGTGATATTTGAGGAATTTAAAGATATTCAGGTGTATGCGTTCGAGGTCAAATATCATACCAGAGATTGGACCTCGAACGCATACACCTCTCGGTTGATCGAGATGATTCTGAAGGCATTACATGGTGGAAGTTCCCTCGGATGGATTCATGAGAATCTACGTCAACATTGTTGTGTTAAGTCCGACGTTTTTAATCCCAGAGTCACTTCTTCCTGCAATCACAGAACGAGAAGCTCGCTTCTTCAGCGAATTGACTTTCCTGGCAGACGTGCACCTCTAACGCGGAACGCAAGCATGCGCTGGAGTCGCTGACCGCTTCTTCAAGAACGAGGCTCTCGCATGGTGAAGCTCAGAGTCTTTTCGAGACCCATGCGACTAGCAATTCTGTTCAAGCTTCAATGAATACACCAGACCAGACCAAACCAGACCAGCATGGTGCAGAATCGTCACGAATAGGTCCCAACCTAGAGTGGCGACCGGAGGCCATGTAATCCAACTCCACATATGGAACGAACACAATTTAGTGTGTCACACCGGAAGCTCGAGTGTACTGTCGACGGATTTCTGGGAGTCTTCCGACGTTTTTTTTATCTGAACAGGGTCCAGAACATCAGGCTCATGACACGTTGCGCGATGACAACTCTCAGGAACATGACACCTGCGTCTTGCGTCAACTGCGAATATAAGAGCAGACTCATAACAAGATGCGGCTGCATAGAGATGACACCTGCTTAGCATTTTGACTTTTGACTCAGCCCAGAGAGCCACGGACAGCAGCGACTGTGGGTGGGGTAGCTCTGCCGCTTCCTCAGTGGAAGCTCTGTGAATAATCTAGCAAGCAGAAGTTCGGCTAAACCAATATTATTTGAATTTTGTTGTTGATGTTTACAAGGGCGAAAGGTGGTGATCAGATGGAAATACAGAGTGATGTGTCGAGCCCCCACTGCACAACAGGTCGAGTGGATTGCTTTGATGGGTGGAGGCAGGGTTGTTGATGGCAGAAGTTGCGCTTTCCACGTTATGCCTGCCGGTTGACATGGGCTGTGAAGCTCTGGTCAACCAGGGGCCCTCCCTGCACAGGAGTAGCATTCAGCTGATGCTGATGCTGATCCTGCTGCTCCTGCTGCTGCTAGAATTGGAGGTAAAGCGTAACCAGGGTCGCGGCGCTGGGAAGTTGCCAGTTACTAGTTGTACCCGTAACAGCAGGTCTAGGACGAGGGGAACGAAGTAGAGGCTCGTGCTGGCAACTTGCTTTGCCTCGTCCACTGCCATGGCCACAAGTGGCCGGCTCTCTGACATTTGCCAAATAAGTTCACCTTCGAACAAGGAGCTTGTCTCACTTTGCAAGGAAATGTAGTGAATCTCAGTGTCCGAGTGATCAATCCTCTCCGCAAGAAAGTATGAACACTGATTAAGAAAGTAGGAGCAATTCGCTGACAGTGCGTGTTGTTAGATTTACTATCATAATTACAGCTGCATTGACGATACATTGCGCAGTTGGTGCATGAGGTACGTGCCCTCCTCCTTCCCATAGTAATAAACATTCCGCTAACATTGGCCACTTTCCGGTCTATGCTAAACTATGTAGGCGACGAGGAACTAGCACACTCCGCCGTCTGAAGCTTCCTGGACCTCCATCTGTTGAGCATAGCATGCGCATCTGGTCTGAAGCTTTTCTGTCACAGTATGTTTGTCAAATGTTGTCTTATCCAGGTCGCATAAGTTTGCTCGTGTAAAGTTTAAAGTGCTTGTCTTCTGATAGATACTTGCTGTCGACATGGCAGCCCCTGCTCAGTTCCAGATTTTGCATGCTCGATCGTGGGAGCTGCACAAGGCTGTATGCCCTGCCCATGGGTCGCCTAGATGCTAGCTGAAGTTTGAAAAGCTTGGCAGCAAAATCGCGTGCAGGAACATGACATCTCCTCCCAACCACGTCTTGACACGACAGGTTCGGCTCCTTCCCTCCGCTCAATTTAGAATAGAATCCAGTCATCCAGTGGCTTGCAGCGAACGATCGACCTATCTTTGTGGGATTCAGCTGCATTTAACCCGTAAATTCCTCGATTTTGGGTCTCGAACGGAAGTTACGGACATTTCGCGCTTGACCGAAGCCAGTTTAGGATCGGGGCATGAAAAGCTGTAAACACAGGCGGAGAAACGGGTGAATTTCTGAATTTCTGAATTGCTCACAATGACCGATCCGCTCGAGCGCGCATCTTGTGCAACGCAACAAAATCCCGATGTGGCCCCTGCAGGCTTGGATGATGAAGAAGAGATAGAGGTATTGAACTTGCCAAGCGCAAGGACAGTACCGCAGCCTTGAGGCGGGAAGGTTCATTATGAAGTGTCAGTAGGCTGACGAGTTTTGTGTTGAACTGATTTTCGTTGGACTTGCTTTCTCGTCGTGTATTTTAGGACAGTGAGGTGGCGTCGGAGCTGAAGCTCGCTTTAGAGGAGGCCTGTTTGGAGGCTGGTGTGACATTAAAGTCTTCTTTCGCCTCTCCTAAGGTGGTCAGTATATACTCTATCTCAATCGCGAAGTGCAGAATTATCGGTTTTGGAGCTTTGATGTGTGATCGTGAGTCCACATTTTCTCGAATCATGGGCGGAAAGTTTTGCATGCTCGGAGAATGTTCTGATGTGATAACTATCTGCACATATTTCTGGAGTATGTCATAGCGCACTCATTGATCTGGAAGTCACAGCATTAGTCGGACCAATGATCACGTTGCCCACTTTTTCCCTCCTTTTTCTTAATGAGGCGTCATCTGAATTGCCTGGCCAGGCGCTGAGAAGACTGATTGAGTGACCGGAGGTCATAACGACGTAATCCATTTTCCAAATGATTGTGTTAACTATATTTTTTATTGAATATGCCGTCCGATTGTTTATTGGGTTCACCTAAGGGTTAAGTCCGGCCGTCAACTAGATGAAGAATTTGAAATGAGATCGCTGCATATTCTTCTTCCTCTTGAGGAAAGAGAGTCACTCAATCGTCGCGCGTGTCGGATCGCCTGCATTTCCCTCTCAGGCAATGTTATATGTTAAATTACAGCACCTTTCGTACTTGAAAGGTGTAAGCGATTGAAAGCTTCGGTCCGAACTTGTGTCGAATCATTGTGGGAAATTAAACTGATTCAGTGACGATGTTGCTCACACAGAATCTTTCAGCTGCCTGCTAGAACCGCAATGTACTGTTTCATTGAACCTTCGTTCGGTGGATCATCTTCTCCTGTCTTGTGCAGACAAGTTTTTGGTTTTGGGAAGACCATAATGCAGTCCCAGCAGGGAAGCTTGCCGGATGGCTCGCTGCGGCCAGAAAACGAAGCTTCTGGCCCATACGGCAACCGAAGAAGAAGCATTCCCGCCTGCCTGGCTCTGCCAACATGTCCGAATCTGTTTCCAGGTATAGACGTGCAGACTTCTCGCACCTCCATCGTCAAACAGTCCGCAATGTTGCCATCTTCAGTGATGTATATATATCCATTTTGTTCACTGACTTTGGCACGGGACACAACGAGAATGTAGAGGTACTTCCAGATTATTTTCTTTACTTTACTTGTTAGCTGAAAGTGAAATAACGATGAGTTGTTTGGCCAGTTCTGACGATTCTGACAGATCTAGCCTGGAGCTCACCGCTTCAGACCAGCCAGACTTGAACGAAATAAGCTTGAAAGAGAGACTGAAGAAAGCATCGGAGCTTGATATAGAGCCGGACAAGATATCCTGGAAAAATCTTTCAATCGTATGTCGCACTGAGCATATGCAAGATGTCGCAGACGATGATAGTGCTGGGGCAATTGAGGTACAATATTTTCCTGTTTTGCCTTCCATCTCTGTAATTCAGTGTAAAAAATTTGTTTGCTTCGTGCTCGCTCGAGTTTTTCTGCCATGGCTCGACACCTGCCTTTGTTTGTTAAAAAGTAACTTTTGCCTCATTTTGTATGAGGATAGTTGAACTTTAAACTTGGATGAACACGTACTAAAATCATCATTATATTTGCCCAGGTCAATGTCAATTCAGGAGGAGTGGTTTACTTTGCCTTATTTCAGGCCGAAGAGGCCGACAGTGGAGAGGCTGCTGCATGTATCAAGTTTGCACCTTCCAGATTAGCTACACAGTCAGAGCTCCTTGGCCTGGAGCTGGCTCGGCATTTGGGAATACTGACCCCAAAGGTACTTAGCTACTCATTCACCTTCAGCATTTTAGCTCTTACTGATTATGAGCTCATACTTGCAAAGAAGGTCTTTATGTCTGGCACACTCAGCTTAATTCTGGGCCACGATACAAGAAGTCTTGACAGAGTCTGGCACGCTCCACTTTTTACCACCCACGAAATTGTTCATCAGCTTCTTGAGCTGTACGATCATTTTGCTTATTGTAACAAGTCATGCACGTTACAACTCCTGCACCTGACTGGAAAATTGTTTGGGATCTTGAGATGAATCACCGAAATTGTGACTTGGAATAATATCCGTGTCCTGTTTCAGGCTCGAGTCGTACATAGCGGTTCGAACGAATGGACAGCGATCATTTTTGCAGTAGAAAAGGCGAAGGAGAAAGCAAAAGTAGATGAGAATGAAGTTGGAGAGAATACATGTGGAGAACTACTGGAGGCGTTGAATCTCAGTAGAAGTTTGCTTCTCATGGGGTAACCTTCTTTAACTTCTTTGAGTCCATCAATAGCCGAAGCAATATGGGATCTAGATTAGTGCCCCGATACTATTTGACTCAAGTGGGCTACGTTGATCTTAGAGAACATGTCTCTATGTTCTGTGTTCTCTTGGACGCAGGTACGTCGATGGCGGTTCATTGTTGAGCACACCTCAGGCGTTTACTGAACAAAAAACATGTGAAAGGACGGCAGCAACGCTCGGAAGGGTGATGGTCCTGGACCTTGTTCTGAGAAACGAGGACCGCTTAGTGTGCGAGCAGTTGGGCTGGCGAGGTAATCCCGGAAATCTTCTGGCAACTGAAAAGCTCCCACTCGGCAAACTGCCTGGCAAGGAGAGAGATCATAGTTCCATAATCCCGAGAAGTCGAGGACGGGGAGACAAAAGAAATAACAATTGGAATTTTCGGCAGCAGCTGAAAGTTCAGTTTGAGTCGATCACATCTGGTCGAGGCCCCAGCAGTTTTTCAGATAAGGACGCTTCGTCTCGGAGCCCTGAAACCAGTTCCTCGTCAAGGTTAAGAACCGAAAGTTCTGGTGAGTTCGACGGGAGTTCACAGAGCAGTGATGCAGAGAAGTCCATGACTAGGAGTCTGCACATAGTGGCCATTGATTCAGGAGTTCCTCGGAGGCCACCCTCCATGAAGGCAGAAAAAGACAAGTCTGACTATCCTAAGTTTGTGGAACTCCTCCTCAATGACGAAACGATTGCGGCGGAAATTTTAAGGGAAATTTCAGGCAACAACTTGGGCTGTCTGCAAAGTGAAACAGACAATGAACAGACTGACCCGAACGTTGACAACTTGGACCACAGAAGGATAGTCAAAGCTTTTCAGGAGGGATTTCGAGCAGGGGCATTTGATATGCAAGACCTTCGGATGTTTCTTCTGAGATTGTTTAGAAGGTTGAACCAACTTCTACGAGAGTTCGTCTCTTACATGGCCAGCGTGGAGGAGAAAGAGGAGGAGGAGTCGGTAACATCGTCTCCATCTTCGCATACTCCTTCGCAACGAACTTCGTCCAATTCTGGCCGTCGCTCTACAAACAACCTATCCCCGTTGGCGAATGAGCTGAGGAGTAAGCTGGAAAAGCTGAATGTGGATTCGGCCAATGAGGACTCTGCTCCTGAAGAGAATGGTTCAAACACGTCATCGCCGATACAGAAGACAAGAAGCCCAATGTTACGACGAACTAGTTCGCCTGACAACAACTCTGATACCTCCTGCTCAGGTCGGAGCTCACTCAGATCGTCTCCTCGTATGCCGAAGGAAAGCTGGCATGGGAAGCTTGCTCAAGCTCCCGCAAACCCATCACAGCTCGGCATGCGCCTCACTCTCAAACTCAAGGATGTTAACAAGTCTGCCAAGGTACCGAGTCAACATTCGCATTTAAAGCTATAGTCTAATATTTGACATCAAAGGCTTCCTCGAATGATAAGGCATGAAGTACCATTTGCACCGTGTCTTTTGTCACTTCGTGCCTTAAGTTTGAATCGAGCGACAGTTGCATTTGCATTCTTCTCATCAGTTAGCCATCATAAATGATCGACAGGATTAGGATGTGCTAGTCCAGCATTCGGTGGTGAACTATGATAGTATTGACATGTTGTTGTGTTACAAAAATAGGTTGATGGGCAGCTCAGCAAGCAGCTTGACTACTGGGATGATAGGCTTCGAACGGAATGCAGAAAGATATGCAAGGAGCAGCGCTTCACAACAGGATTTTTAGATAATAGCAACAATCATAGCTTGATAGACAGCTACGAGCTCAAGGTACTTCCAGCTTTTTATGTATAGCTCTTTACTCGTCTGAGCATATATTCATCATAAAATTCTTAGAAATAGCCCGCGGCAATAAGCAGATACCTGATATTCTGATTAAGACTAGACCGAAACGTAAACCTGGACATAAGTTCTGTATTTCACATTTCTTATGGACATGGACACACTTTTGACTTCAGTGAAATAGCTGCAGTCTAGTTTGTACGTAGTCTATATTTGAAGCTCAACGTTCGGTCTTGTGTGGATCTCCAGGTTCGTCTTGATCACCTTCTGGAGAGAATGGCCTTAATTGTCCAGGGAGTCCAAACCGAGAGGCCATCTTGTGTTTTGAAGCACTTATACATAGGGGGCGTTTTGTCTGCACGATCACGTCTTACTCTTCAGCGTGTGGGCATCACTCATGTTCTGTGTCTCTGTCCGAAAGAGTGCATCATCGATGCAGATTACTCCGAGTTGTATGTGTTGAAGAGCTTCCAGGTATTCCGTTCTTCTTTTTCATGGATTTTATGTTATTTTCGTCAGTCCGTATTTATACCCGTTTAATGCCTCTCGGAGATCTTGCTTTATTTTGAAGCATTCAGATTCTTAAAGTCCAGTTAGATTCACTAACTTCATAATAATGCCGACCGATCAGATCAGAGACGAGGAGGATGAGAATATTAGTTGGTACTTCGAGGAAGCCTGCAAATTCATTGACTCCGCTGAGGCAGAAGGCGTCATCTTGGTTCACTGCTTCGAAGGAAAAAGCCGCAGTGCAGCAATCATCCTCGCTTACCTCATGATACGGAAGTACGCGATCTCAGAATCTCTATGAAACACTTTATCCCCTCTTGGTAGTTTCAAAAGAGCTTGATTTTCTTGTTTTGGAGAATATTGAAAATTAGATATTATCAGGTAAACCTTCTCATGTGGACCTTTTCCACTGTCATGTCCGATGATATGAAGTCCCACCCCATCTTATGCCATCATAAGAGGTGGTCTTATGTGGTCATAAAGTCATGCTGACCAGTTTGTCGATTCAAGTCTCGATTGTTTTCTGATGCGTGGCTCACCTTCAAATTCAGGGGCCAAACTTTGCTACAAGCATGGGCGTTACTGAAGGCTGTGCATCCTCGCGCTCAACCAAACGACGGATTCATGAAATGTCTTGTACGGCTGGATAAAGAACTGCATGGGAAAGTGTCTATGGACTGGCAGCAGAAGAGACCCCAAGTTCGAATGTGCCCTATATGCGGCAAAAGTGCTGGTATCAGCAATGTCTCCCTCAGGCATCATATTCGAAAGTCTCATCCCGACGTCACACATGTTCCCCTGACCACCGTCAGAAGCCCAGAAGCCGAAAAAATAGAAACTGCAACGTGCCCACTGGAGAACGTGCTTTCGGTTGTGGGGCTATAAGCATATGTCAACTCTGCAACACTTGATTGTGCATATGACATCAGTTTTTCCATAGGAGGGTCAGATGTCACTGTCCAAGGTGACGAAGTCTTCCCTCGATGCAGGAAACCTGTCAGTAGGTAGCTTTGTGTACAGATAAGGCGGAACTGTATAGTTTTGTATAGGCGTGACACTTTTTGAAATATCTGAAGTCTGGACTCTCTGATATGTTTGCAGAAGGTAGTTTGCTGGTCCTAGTGGCAAATAGATCAGTCGATCGATCAGTAGTCTGTCGATCTACAAAGACACAGGGAAATAATATTTTTGTCGGGATGGGATGCCCAATAGTGGCACGTAGAAGACGAGACACCTTGGCCGGAACAGGAAGACCATATGGTTAGATTGATTTGAACCTTAGATCCCAAGCAGACCGGCAGATCAGATCTCATTTGTTTGTCGAACGTCGTTAATGCGTCGTTAATGTCGTTAATGCTTTAACAAATAGCGCTGTACGAAGAGAACTCTTCAAGGTGTACTGAAATGGGAAGCCCAATCCTCGACAGTAATAACATGCACTTCATCGCTCCACTTTCCTCTGCGACTTTGATCCATTTGAACTTAATTTCCAAGCAAACCCGCAGATCAGGTCTCAAGTTCTGGTTGAAACTGTCGTTGATCCTTTTTTAACCGACGCTGTACGAAGAGAACTCTTCAGGGTTTACCGAAGGAACACCCTCGGCAATGGATATCATGAACTTCATTGTTCCACTTTCTTCCGCGACTTTGATCCACAGTTGTACGTTATGAATTATCGAACGGGGCAGACCAATTTCTCGTGCATGATACAACGAAAACTCTTCTGATTTTCGGAAATTACGTGCGGTATGCATTAGCTCCTCTCCCGATTCTTGGCTATCATACTGAATACGCTGATATTCTTCCCGCATCCGAGCAATCAAATTTATCAGGACTGCGTGGGTTTCTCATAATACTCCTTTGACAGCCAACGATGAAAAAGTCGGTATGAGGAGAACCTGTTTTGACAACTTAGATTTTGACGCTTGCTATATCCGTATGATCGATGGCTCACCCTCGCTTGGATCTACCTTCAGGATGCTGGTTTCTTATCAAGAAAACAACGAGAGAGCGGAAGTTCTGTGAACACGAGCAGTACGGATTTCTTCTTCACGAGAAAGCTATCACCTCTCACGTTCACTTCTCTTCAAGTGCTTTCTGAAAATCAATATACATGTGTCAGAAACTTTCTAATCCCACATACTACACTTGAGTAGAAAATAAACACGAAACGTACTGCAACTCACATGTTTTACAATTAGTCACTAGTGTTGAGATTATGATGCGTCATATAGAGATAAGAAAGTGAAATTGAAGATAATATGAACACCACAATAATTTACGTGGAACGATCTCATGAATTGAGGAAAATAATAGAAGATTTTACATTATCTCAAGTATGGTCTTCCAACTTCTGTCCATAACAAGGAAAAAACAAGACAGAAAGATGTCTCTCTTCAGTAAGAGAACCGACTCATTGGAGAAGAATGTATAGTAACTCTCTAAATTTCCTATCAAGTCAAGAATGGGATGCTAAAGCCTTCATCCACACGTATCCTTGATATTCGCCGTGGAGTTGTGACAGATATAGAGAGCCACCATGTACAGACATAAATGTGATTCTACACCCAGATCAGAATAGGTACATTAGCGAAAAGGATGGTCTTATGGTGTCGTCGAAGAAGTCAGAGTGAATAGACTGACCACGTCCTCGTGAAATTTGTTGAAGACAGCTCTAGGAAAATCTGGGTGAATGCCCAACTACTGTATTCCCTATATTCCCTATATTCCATTGCTCTACAAAAGCTCAGTAGAAAGCACAATCAATAAGCGAGAATCACTTTATGTGATGCTTACTCTTCTTACTTAATAGCTTTCAACTCTATATATTAGGTGAAGTGTGATATATTTCCAATTTTGATATTATTGGAACCGAGTGTTAAGCCACCCATTTGGTTTCATCTGTTTAATAATGATCGGGTCTTCTTCCCGTGTTTAATAATGATTACTTGGTTCCAAACTTCATGTTGATTGCCAACTTTTCTGTTTTGAACACTACAATTTGGAACGATAATATGAAAGAAAGAATGTCCAACCCCTCTTGTAAATTCGTCACCAGCCATGTCACAACCGACAAGGTGTAGTTGCCGTGTGCTAAACTTGAACAATTGCAAAGTTTTGAATAACGATAATTTGCTTTATATCTTCTCGATCTGATTTTTAAACTAAGCAAGGTAGCCCAATTGCTTAATGTTGAGATGACTCTTCTGTAGAGAGCTCCTACACAAGTCCACCATCAGACTAGCATTTAGCTGCCCGAGCCTCGTTGATTCGTTTGAAGGCACACGAGGTACATACAACCGCATGAGGTGGGAAAATAGTGGTTTAGGAGAAAGCACGCTTACCATCACCATGGTTACTTCTCAAGCAGCACAAATAAAATTCTACGCAGCCCCCTGACTTTTAATCGGCCAACTTTCCTGCACTTGTCCTCCAGCTGACTGTCCTCTCTCTACTGCGCAAGGATGACACGCACAAATCGAGAAATGGTCCAAATTTTTACTTCTTTCTTGCAGAGGACATGCAGAGGGTGGAGGAGAGTAGGAGCTCCTTGCTCTGCTTCTTTGGGCCCACTCTGGGACTTCCTGAAAACCCATACGGCGAGAGAAAGAGGCAAGACACTTCGGGGTACAAATTCTGTGCGCGAAGGGGTGATGGTATACTTACCTGGGCGGAGCCAATCGCTGATCCTGAAGGGCGATGACTTAGATTCAGTTCTTCCATTGCACTAAGGTTGGGCGGGTTCTAGCATTTCCCCAAGGGGAAAATGCACGTCATAATTTGTGTCAGAGGAGGGCTCGCGTTCGCGCGGCCCTCCACCAAAGAAAACCAAATCAAGACGTGCCTTCGATCTCAAGATTTACAGAAATTACAACTCAGCACACTCTGCGCGAGACAAAGATCTATGGGATGCCATCCATTGCGTTGGGCATGAGTGACGTAGTACGTGCAGCCAGGGTTCTAATAATCAGTCGAACTCATCCGGTTTGAAAATGTCAGACTTGATAGAGGGCAAAGTCTATATTCATTGTGGTGCTCCTTCTAGTTAGTTCTTGAGTCTATGAAAAAAATTGATCAACAGTGTATTCTATATTCCTTTTCAAAAAATCTTATATCAAATTCATCTTGTACATATGTATATTTTAGATCAAATTGTTCCTTGATTTTTAAGAAACAATTATCTGAAGTGGTTTAACAATTTCAGATCTTCTTATCAGGTTCAGGCTTCTATATTGATTGTGATCTCCATAGACACACATAATTAGCACAAGTGGAATTGAATGTGAGAAAGAAATGTATGCTTCTGTATTCGGTTTGATCCCATTCGACCGATTAATTTGAGAACGAGATATATTGGAAGATAATTACGTAGATTGGACGATTATTAGTCCTCTCCAAGATACTACCTGCAGATGTATCCATGGTTTGTAGATTTTGCGAAGGTTTTGTTTGACTCTAATACCCTTCTAGTAAGTTATTTCTCTGTGTAGCTGAAAACACGTTCAGTACACTTAGTGTACTGAACCAATCATAAGTATGCCATAATGTTAAACCCATGCCACAACTGCAAGTCATTACACGATCGTTTCGTTCTTTCATGCAACAGCAAGCACACATAGCTACTAGTCTCGACCTCCTCGAACTTGTAGTGCTTATTTAAAGACACCTCCTGTTGTGAATGTAGAACAAATTGAGAAACAGAATTCTTTAAAACAAAAGATACTGACTGTGCGACGGATTTGGGCTGTTACAGATAATGCGAACTCTCTGGCACTCCGTAGCAAAGAGTCATTATTGACGTTCTATTTACTAAACGTCATACACTTCTATCAACTTCTAGTTCAGTGTGGTGATCAATCTTCTATGCTATCGACAAAAATTGGTGGGCAATACGGCGAGTTGAGTCTCTCTCCTTCCATGCGTTGCCAATTTTTTGCGCTGACCAGAAAACAGGTAAACGTAGATGCTCAATCGTAGGTTCGCTAGCTTTGGCAGGTGTCGGTCACGTTCATTTGGGTGTCTCATTAGCCAAAGCGATGATTCTGTGCTGGATTCGCAGCAGTGCTGGGCACAGTGTCACCATGTCATTTTGCCTCAATAGATACAATAGACTGAGATCACTACTCCAAATCCTTGCAATCATACCAGAAAAAAAGGAGTAGAAAGATAATAGATGTGAAATTGTTACTTATTTATTGCCGAATTCCACAAAGAATCCCGTTACAGACCACGCTATTCTATCCTACTTTTGAAAGTCTCCGGTAACTTGATGAGCAGCTGCATTTTGCAACAACTTCCTTTTGCAGCCTAGGTTCAGACAGGCAGCCTGTTTGCTTACTCTCATATCTTCAAAGGGATGATCCATTGACTAATGCCTACAAAACTTTGGACGAATAGATATTGGTGAATAATGGGAAGATGGTCCCGCAATGTCAAAATTCTCAATCTGCCAGCTGAATCAGCTCTGCATCTAGTAGCGATCTTAGAAGTCTTCTAAGACAGGGGTGAGGTCAACGTTATATTGCTGCTTTCCTTTAGTTACTCTCTGCAAACAACCGAAGCAAATATAGAAAAAAGTTAAGGTACGCCAGAAAGCAGTTGAGTCCCACGAGAAAACTCATTCTTTGATAGAGCAGATTGACACAAACAAATGATAATCTAGAGCGAACACGACTCTTTACTCTGCAGATGTTCATGGTTGTAAAGCAAGTACGATGAACAAATTGTGTTACATGAATTTTCGAGAAATTGTTGAAGAACTATGTTTGCGCTGATCCAGTTTGTCACAGAGGCTGGTTCGTTTTTTACTGAAGATCTCTCCCTCATAATGTATCCATTGGTAATTGAGGGTTGAGTTGTCAGCACTTACCCCAATGGCAACTAATTCCTCCAGAAGCGACTTCAAGTTCCGTAACGGCTGATGATCAACAACAAACGCATCTGACATTATAATCCATCAACTATTGCAAAAAGAAAGCCAGGAAACATTGATAAGGAGCGACAATTCAGAACATCGATTCAGAACACATACCCATTGAGTTGGACCATCAACAGGCGCTTGTAAAGGGTTGTCGTGTACCTGTTGAAAAAGACAGATCGTCAAGAGGAGGTACCTTTATCGATATATCATGGCTGTCAATATTGTCAACACATCAGTTTTGTTCTTGACAATTGTTTCCAAGCTTGTAAGACGAATTTGAAGTGCACTGAGCTGATGTGCAATGAGCAATCACCTCCATGAAGATACCATCAATACCAACCGCTACACATGTTCTTGCAACACAAGGGATGAGTTCACGGAGACCTCCGCTAGCTACTCCTCCTCCCTCGATCTGTCAACAATTTGGATCTCAAATCATCGTCTCTCATTTATGTCAAGCTAATGAAGTATGAAGGTGACAACGAGACTTGATGTTCACTAACTTCGCTTGCTTCCTCTGTTCAGTTTTCAGTCTGACCAATAATACTTATGTCTCTTGACGTCAAGACCAAGTTCGGAGCTTATTCGGTACCTTCCTGCCCGCTGGTTGTTGTAAGGAGTGAGTGATATCGGCAACCTGCGAAGTACTTCGAATCTTAGAGATGGATATAACTACGTTTTAACAGTCTAAATTCTTGCGCCGTACAGAAGAGGACACTGTCATGACAATCTCAATTCACACTTCTCTCTAGCTTCGAACAAAAGAGATTTTGTGTATGCCATAACCATTTTGTCAGGACTAAGATCCCCAGGAAAGACGAAAAATGACACAAGTTCTTGCAACGAAGAAGTCTAAAAGAAAATCGAGGAGAAATGACAGCAACACACTGGTTGGGTCACGATTCCATGAACACCTTGTTGACTTTTTAAGTAGCAAGGATCATCCTCCTTACCTGAAGAGAGATGTCAGTCACATATGTTCACTTAACAGACAAACGAAAATTCTGATATCAGGGAAACAAGAGGCGACAAACGCACCACGGGACAGTTCGCTTCTCTCATCCACTCGAGATTTCTCGGATCCACAATGAGGTCGTCTGCAAGTGGACAGGTTGAGTTGTTTTATTTAACTGGACTGTAAGAAGTAACATCTGACACAAACATTTAGACAACCTTGAATAGCAACTCCAAGCATAACTCATGTTAGACTTACTGTATCCAAACATCGTGCCTCGTTCACAGACCATCACATTTGGATTTCCCGACGTTCGGACTTTAAACGCTGAATTTACCATAACCTGCATAGCGATAACTCCAAACCATAAATGTTTGAAAGGAATGACAATCAAGGTAAGCTCACTGCCCAATGATTATAAAAGTACACTACGAAAGTAGACGAATCGTATGAGTAACATCGCTCGTAAACTCGTGAAGAATCAAATGTGCAAATAAAGATTCATCTTCACGATCTTCTTTAACCCACAACAGGGTAAACAGTACTAATTAGTATATGCCAGTCATAGCCTGAGTACCGTAGACCCCGGAACCTGGCTGAGAGGTGCTAGTGATTTTGATTGAGGAGAATTGATCAAAACAGTCATTACATATCCTTCAGCACGCTAATCTTTGCCTTATAAACAGGATGTGTAGAGAGAGCATTTCAAGCTTGACAGAAAACGCTTGTTAATACGAGTACGTGAGAAACTCGTGTCTGATGGACCCGGAGAACCATTATGCACGATGCACCAATAATCTGTCCAGTGACATTTACCATTGTATGCAAAGGGCTTAATTAAAATTTTCTTATAAAAGTAGTGTCGACGGAGAATCTTGCAAAATCCATGAGCTACTTCTCTAGGGCTATTCGTGATGAGCAGACGTATCGTCATAAGACCAGCGGAGACAATCTATATCTTTTTTCATTTATGGGCGGTTGAGAGAACTTACAGAAGAAGCGCACATTTGTCCTTTCTTTATGTTGATTACCTTCCCAGTTTTCGCTGCTGCCACCAACAGGTCTGTCTACATTAATTTGACTAGCGTCAGTGATGGCTGTTGAGAAAATAGCATGTCTAATTACGCGAAATGTCGATATAAAAAACATCTTTTCAATAACAGATAAAATTAATTCGATCATTTTCTTTATTATGCAAATACTGCAATCTCAGTACAGCACTGCAAAGGATGTGAACTGATATGACCAACCTGGCGGCAAAGGAAAGCTGGAATCTGCAAAATATCTGCAATTCTTCCGACTGCTTCACACTGATCGACAACTTTAATCAGTTTCACGCTGAATGTTGTTTCAGTATTCATTTAGCAGAGTACTAAGATTCCCTAACGACCGACGCAAGTGAGGGCTATCTCTATGCTGGAACGAATGGTACTTGAACTTTCAGTACTATTACACAAGGCCGAAAATATCATCGAAAGTACGATGTTAATAACGAACATGAGTACGACTGACTTCAAAGTGGCTTTCGGACAAAAAGGTTTTGCAGTCTATGATCTGAAGATTACCTGAGATGTCTCATGCACATCTGTGACTATAGGCAGGTCATATGTGATCTTGACTCGTTCCAAAATCTGTGCACATTCATAGCAAGTCCAGAACGTTCACCCGACAGAACGTATGTCTCAGAAACTGACAATACTTATAAGAGATAGACTCGTAGGATTCTACCAGTATTTTGCCGAAAACATCGCTGAGACAAAAGGACGATATCTACCTTCAAACCCTCTTCTAAACCAGGGCCTCGAAAGGAATTCATCGAAGTTCGATTCGCTTTGTCGAAACTGGACTTGAAAACTAGCTTCAGGCCGAGCCTGCGATGAGCGTCACGTGTAGTTACATAAGACTTCGTTTCAAAGTTTGCAAAATGTACGGACTCCTCTAATCCTATTTACTTAAACTTGCTGAAGTTTGCAGAGTCGAACTACAACAATCTGGCAATTCCTGGAGTATACAACGGGGCACAGAGTGCTGTCACATAGAATTGGCACGAGGGAATTGCTCAAAGGATCAGCAAGAATTTCTCACCCATTACGATCCGGTTTCACACAAAGCTTGAACATTACACTAATGCTGCAACTAAACAACGACGCGGGGAAGCAATGTGTTAATTCTTACTCATCGGTCACAGACTTGATCTGTCGTGCCATTTTCATGACGTGATCCGCTGACTCTATCACATTCGGTCCTGCCAAGATGAAAAACGGCTCCGCGGCCTGAACAATAATCAAAGTTCGCATCTAGTTAAGATTAGTAAGATAATGTCGTAAATTACAACATCCATTTATCTTTTCTCCTGACCTATGTGTATCCGCAGGTTGTGTCTTCCTAGTAAGGATCTTCAGATTAACTTCAGCACAATCATGCTCTGTCATCTACTTCAATTTGATAGACTGTTCACAAGTATCCAAGACTACGACGACAGCGACAAATTCCACCACAATGTAGTTAGGACAAATAGAAATTCAAATTCACGTATGTGATGCACTCAATATAAAACTTTCACCCTAACAAAACCATATAAATTCGAAACAGAAGGGGGATCCCAGCTTCCAGACCACACTGATCTCGCTACCGAAACCCAGCTCAAAAAAATAACGATCCACCCAGATGGTCACGAATCTGCACAGATACCACACACCTTCAATTCATTGTAGAACTCGGAAGTAGCCCCCATCGTCGACACTCGTCTTCTCAGCTACACCCACGTGACAGAGCGAGTTGCATTGAGCAAAGCGACTCCCAAGCGGAAGCGAGAGCAAATATGAGAATTAACCAACGCACTGCTGCTGCTGCTGCGCTCTCTCGCCACAGCCCCTGACAATCATCGTGCACCTCAAAGTGCAAAACAGAGCGATGAGAGCGAACTCCTCCTGGTGGGTCCCGACTCCGGCAATCGGGGGACGTGATACGCGCAGAAAATCAATCTCTCTCACAATGTCACATGTCTTGCCTCCCCCAGAGCAACAACAGATCGTCGAGCGCAATCCGCGCGCAGTGGCCATACACGTCCAAAGAACAACCTCCCGATGAATCAAGAGACAGTCATTCCAACGACTGAGGAATTCGACGATTCTAAATCCATGTTTTCCGGCTACTGCGATTTTCCGGATTTCATTTTCGTGTAAACGAAAATTTCGTGCAGACGGTCAAGATCCATCGGAACAGACCCTTCGCCCACTTCGGAAACGACCCGACAAGCAGCGCGAGATCGACCGGAATTCCTTCCTTCTGTCCGGTGTCCCATGCCTACTGTACTCTGACCTGTCCCCACACGGGACATCGCCGTGGTCGGCCTTCTACCTACGACGTACGCTGCGCCTTCCGCTGACGTTCGATCACGTTGACATTTTTCTCATTGCACTGATCTCATTTCCCTTCACTTCCCTCCCTAATTGCGAAGTGCCGATACATTCGATGCTTCCGATCTTATTCCTAGTAATGAATCACGGGGTGACAGATAGCGTAGCAAAAAGTATGGGAACATCCCATCTTGCAAGAAATGGATGAAGCGAATATTTATATATATATATATATGCTAAAAGATAACTATCCAACATACATTGTACCAAGGACTAGATCCCCCAAACATCTGAAAAATATCTAATGCATCATCTACTCCTCCTTAAATGGAAAATTAAACCATTTATGAACCAAAGTAAAGCCATTTAAGGTTTAATTATTATGTATAGTATTAACAAGTGTTAGAAATTGAAACAACACGTCTTTTAACAACAGATTGTTGCTCATTAGTTAACATGTATATTGAAATTTATCTTCTCGTAACTCCAATGTTAAAGAGTTTGACTTTTTGCCTAGCACTATACAAGGATATGTTACGACTTACCTCAGGTCTTTGTTAATTCTACTTTAATTTACTTTGGTTTGCTAAAAAAGCTACTGATATAGAAGAGTACTGAATCAGGTTTTCTATAACATAAATCAAGTTTTTAAGTAAACAATTATGTGCATTCTCTAAACGTATTGTTTCTGGGAATTTTTTCACTGTCTTTTATGTTTAGTATCATAATTGAGATTAGTGAGTAGTACCAACGAGTGTTACCAGCAAGTGTTATTACGACAAATATTGATTGAAGTATCTCGTGTGACTTGTGGTGACCGGAATGTACGATGTATGGCAAATGTGACAAGTACTTGTCACATTTACCAAGTACAAGATGAAAGAATGAGGATCATACGAACTCTTCAGCGTTTATAAAACTCAAGGTGCAATTCTTAGTTCACATGAAGAGGTTGGTCTATTTGCTATGATATTCAATGACAGAATTGTCGAGGTTTATCGTCACTTCATCCATTAATCAGCGAAGCTAAGACTGTAGACTATTGTTAAAAAGTCAAGCTTCATGTGCACATTCTGAAAGCAGATGCATGAATCTGTTACTCTCTAAGATCAAGACAAGCTCTAGTTCTGACTTGGCTCTTTCAAGCTTGTCGTGTCCTATCGCGGATTGACTGAATCTTGAAAGGTCCCAAAAACGTGCAATTGGTGCAGGGAGAAAATGTTAGTTAAAATATGTCCAAAAATCCAACTCCAAAAATCCAAGGAGATCTCAAGATCAGAGGATTGTAGTTTGTTGGAATGTGGCAAAGCTCGTCACTTCAAGACACATCATGGTGACAAAGCATGTGAAATATCTTCTTAAAATGTAATCAAGAAGAAGAAAAATATAGTTCATAAAGAACAATACTATATATATGTCACTAATATTTTGACTTATTAACATATAAATGACTGTATCTTAGGTTGTGTATTTAATTTACTTTTTGATAAGTTAAAACTATATATGATTATCAAATCAAAAGTAAATATTTATCTAATGCAAATCATGGAAAAGTCAGAAGCCGTTTTGCATAAAACTTTCATTTTCTTGAGATGAAAGATTAATAAATACAATTTTTTTGAAGATATATTCTTGAATAAATACGAGATTTTCAATATACAAAAAACAATCGTGAACAAGTGAATGGTATCAAGATCAAAATAAATAAATGAAATATCTCAAATGTTATTGTTGTTCTTGAACAATTTTACAAATGCATAAATTCAACTCAATTAAGTAAGAGATGATTATATCCTTTCAGAGGGTGATAAGATTTTTAATTTTGATGATAAGATTTTGATTTTGAAAGAGTTTGAAATTTTTTTATATATTTAGTCTCAAAAATCTATGATCATCTTAACAGAATACAACATTGACCATTGCAAAAAATAAACTGCAATCACTTATTAAAAAATATTTAATCTTTCAAAGATTAATTAAGTTTGAATAATCAATTTATATAAAATTTGATTTAATAAATCAAATAATAAAATATAAAGTATTAAGAAGAAAAGTTTGGGAAAAAAAATTAGCAAATGGCACTTTATAATTAAAGTCTAGTTTTCAATTGCTAAAAATTTTATTTTTTTTATGTGAATGTTTATTTGTGATTTGATCTAATTTCAAATTTAAATTTTTCTCTTCAAGTTTTTTATGATAGTTTGATGATAATATTTTAATGTTATGAATGAAAAAATGCTTAAAATTGAAATTTTAATAAAATCAATAAAATTAATAATAAATTTACAAATGTCTTGAATTTTATATTATATGCAATAATTTTGGTTTAAAAAGCTTAATATGAAACATTTTAATATTTTTTTGATGTATGAAAAATAATGTATGACCAAAGCAAAATATTTTTAAAAATTCTTTTAAAATTATATTATGGAATTTGTGAATAAATTTTTATAATTTTCCATTTTTTTCATGAATTAATGTGGAAATTATGGACATATTATATAGTCAATTATCTATTATATCAATGTCTTCTATAATTATTTTGAGGAATTGGATATCAATCATACTTGGATTCAATGAATGAAAGTTTAATGTGAAGAATTCATTTGATGTGATACAAGTACTTAATGCAATTATGTAAAAAAATAATAATTTGAAAAAGTTGCAGAAGAGGAGACAAAGCAACAATTGATGAAGTATAAGATTTTTGTATTGAATAAGTATAAGATCTAAATCATGTTAGATTTGAAAAGAAATTCCAATTTAAATTAGAATTAATCTCCATTGATAGTGGTCGAATAAATTAAGAAATTTTTATTTTTTTTTCAGATGAAAAATATGTTTGCTTGCTACATAAATATTTGGGTACTGTTCGTTACAGGTTATGTCAACAATTTTTGTGATTCTCAATCATATCCAGCGTGTCATTGAAGAAGGACAAATCTGCTAGATGATGGTAATAAGATATTATTCTCTTGTGACTTTATATAAAAAATAATCTACTCAGGTATATTTCATCTTTTAAAACTAAATATATTCTTCCAAAGGATATTTACTTTTTTTAGCAATGCTACAAAATTTTACGAAAATTATTGGTATAGCATAGTATATTTTCAACCTTTAAGTTAATATATCTATTTAAAAAATAATTTTATCAAGCCTTATTACTAACATGTTTTTTATGCAAAATATTGCTAAAATTGAGCTATGCAATGCAATCTCCGACTTTAAAAGTTCATGTAAATTCCACTTTAATGACCTAATCTCTTTCCTAACAAAATAATACTTCTCCTTTTGAATGTTGTTTTCCTACTGTGTCACGTGAGCTACATTTATTACTACATCCACTTTAAGGTTTTATTGAACAAAACTTGCTATAGATAAAATTTTTCCCAGATCTCAAATTACATTGAATGAGTCTCAAAATAAATCTGGAAGTTTTATCAAATGTTTTAATCCTAAATTATTTAACTTGCATGCAATTTACTGATTATCTGCATTGACCTTTCACCTGTACATGCAACAACAACAAAAAAAACAAACTCACACACACAAAAGTAGATAATGTATGTATTCCATTTGCAAATAGTTTCCACGTCACATGTGCAATTGTTTATATAAAAAATTAGGAATAATAAATCAATTATAAGTTAGATTTTTGTTTTTCAAAGCTTTACATTCCACATCTTTAAAACCAGAGCTATAAATTAGAATGAAGTACACATCTCGGATTTGAGATGTAGATTTACTCCAAACGCCATAGAAAAAAATGCTCATCCTTTAAAACTAAACTCTACTCACTTCCATATTCAGCACATTATAGCCACGCAATGCAGTAAAACATAAGACACGGCCATAAAGTTACTTCTCAGTGGTAGCTTCACTTACGTTCAACGGTCAGTAGATCATTGTTGTTCCCTAGGCAATGGTCCAGGACAGAGAGGTCCAGACAGACATGGTCCTGTACCTACTTTCAACTCAAGAACACCAAACGAAATGAGATGGCTATTTTAAGTAAAAGAAAGCACCCTTTCCATCGACGATTTCCTCTCCTGTGTACTCAAATCATATCCATTGGCGAAGACTATCATGATGCTTTTGATAATTTTCTTCTCTTTTTCTATTTTGGTAAAATTATTGCTTGTTCTGCATACGAAATAATAAATCAAAGGAAACCATGAAGCTGGAAAACCTCTATAACACAATAAACAATAAGCGGATCCACGTACATGGCAGATATGTTTGTCAAGACTTCGGGCCAATAATTATCCACAAAAGCATTGAGATTGTTGAGAGCTTGCAGTACAGGATGCTGCTCTCAAGCATGGCCAGCAGCCCGCTCGCTGTGCTCACCATGCTCTGGTTCATGTATTCATGCTATCTACAATTTGCAGCAACATCTTGGATGCATATGCATGTCGAGAAGAATCATGCAGATAACAAACGTCAAATGACCTTGTCGTTTCCTGGGTTACGTGTTTTTATCACAACAGAACGAAAAGAGTTCACACTTTTGGACCATTATAATAATGTATTATTGGATTGATGGAATGTTTCTCAGCAATCAGTAGTATCAGTCAGCTCTATTCGCTAGCTCAAATTTACATTCAATAGATGACGCTGGCATAGAGTACACTCTAAGATTTCTGTGGCACTAAAGTAGACAGCTTCCGAAAGCGCTTGGCAGGCCAATCTGTATTTGGCCAAACACTGCATGCTTTCCCTTGTTAACCAAAACCATGTAAAATGAGTATAATAATTTTCGATGTAAGTGCCCCATAAAGCCACCAGATGGAATTAGCTGACACTTCTTAATCTCTTCATCCGCACTTTGAATAAAATAACGAAGCTGGGTAGCAAGAACGAGATTTAAGTCACTGACCTCAGAATTAACTACCTTAAAGTCATGATGAGAAAACTTTAGTGCGATTCGGTTTCCGGTAGTAAGTAATAACCGTAAAAAACGTGATGGACGGTCGTATGATGTGGGCATCATATGACATCTTGTTTCAGGGGATTTTATTTAATAATGCGTGGCAATATTTTTATTTCAAATAACAATAGAGATGAAGGTGGCCCAAAGCGAAGCGGAGCGAAGGGTAACCAGATAATGGAAGTCTTCAAACTTGCTCCAACTTCTTGTTCCGGAAGAGCAGTGACATACGGATTGAGATCTTGGACTTTTACAGGAAAAAAGCTGGCGAGCATGCGAAGAGTCAAATGTTCCGTATACCAACGACTGTCCACTCGCACACGGCTCAAAGGCGATAATCAGAATCCAGCGTTCAAACAAATCACAGAGACTACGGCAGCTCAGGTTCTGAGGCATGAGTAGCCAAAGATGACCTTGACCGGCACACCCTTCCTTCCTTCCTCATCGCACCGAACGAAGCGAGAAGAATAAACTGAACTTCATGATGACACCACACGACCAGTGCACGCGACGGGGCGACCGGTGAGTCAGGAACGTTACCCAAATTTTTATTGAACCGAGCAGAGAGAGAGAGAGAGAGGCTGCGATGGGTTGAAGATCCGTGGTCACTGCATGCATGAGTATATGGCCTGCGCAGGTGATGACATGGCTGGGTAGCCCTGCTCAGTGTAACTCCAGGTGGGAGCGTGTATCAACGGATGGCGTCACCAACTACCGATGACGTGGGCGACAGATAGATCCGTCCATCGATCGATCGATCGAGGTTTCCATTTTGGCACGTCAAGATCTAAAGCGCGAGGCGACTCGCAGGAGGACGAGGCAGTATGGACGAAGAAAGAGGAGCCGAAGGCGGAAGAAAGTTAGGCCGCGAGAGGAGAGTAGCGCGGACGAGGGAGAGGGGGAGCGGGGGAGAGAGGGAGGGAGGTCCCACCGCCCACCAGTTATCCATGCGCCTGTCTGACTGTCTGACTGCCTGCCTGCCTGCCTGCCTGCCTGTCTGTCTGTTTGAGGGACGGCGGGCAAGAGATGTGGGCGAGGATTCCCTCTTCTTCGTCGTCCTACAATTATGATCCCTTTTGTTCGCCTGTATAATTGGTTTCATGCTCGATCGAGACGTGCGCTTGCGATCCGATCGGGAACAGGGCCGTCGACTGGAAATTCCTCTCTTTCTCCACTTCTGCGCGCGCTCGGGCCCTGGCTCGGTGTTCTCGTGATTCTCATGTGTGATTCCGAACTGCTGAGATCATCAATTTCGGACCCTGAAGGTTTTGGATACTATACGTCGGTCTTGTAGCGAGAAGCGAGGTGCCCTGTACAGCAGCGTATATCGAGATCGAGGCTGGTAGTTGAGAGAGCGAGAAAGAGCGAGTGAGGAGGTCGGTACGTTGAGTTCCAGAGGGATATAATGAGCGCAGGAAATATTTGACGCCGGGTGCAGAATTCTTATTATCTTGGAGACATTTAAATTTTTAGTTTTAGTTTTCCCCAAGGAAACGGGGCCTAGGAGGATGTGTTCTGAGTTTCGTAACTACGGAGCTAGCACGTACGTAATTTGATCAGTTCAGACAGGCAGGGCGGATAATTATGCTTTATGTAAACTAGAAGGTAGTTCTTTTCCACGATGCGGAGCTGGTAAAGAAGATCCATCTACCACTTCCTGAGGTTGATCATCTCTTTGGAAGCAGTTGTGACATCTGTAAAAATCTTTCGGAGAAACGAGACGTCCGTGCAATTTTGCGAGAACTCCTGAAAATCTGAGGAAGGGTGATTGGATAAGCTTGGCAAAGATGGAACGAAGAACAGTAGAATCACAATTTTTTAAGTGCAGGTGGCAACACTCTGTTTCCATTTTATTGGTAGCGGTAGCTTGCTTCCAGAACCTCGAATTTTCTGAAGCGAAAATTGTCCTGCCCGTTATGCGCTCATTTTCGCAAATGGAGGGATCTGGATTGCACCCCGGGACGGATGGTATGACAATTGAGCATGCGAAGGAGCTGAAAGTCCACGATTTTGAGCGGAGCCAAAGACATCAGCGCATACTAACTGCTGTTGCTGACTTCCCGCTTGATGGAAACGAGTATTACGTAGGGTACGTTATACTCCAGTCTAACTGCTGAGAGGCTCAAGCAAAAGTGCCTGCTTTTCTCGTAAATCCTCGTGAATCCGACATCTTTTGAGGCTTGCTCTCTCGATGTCGCATTCATGTACCCGGCGGATCTTTAGGATCGTAGTTCGGGGACGGCAGACTCAGAATTATCAAGTTTCGTACAACTCTTTGCTATGTAGATGACTGTTCTTTTGCAAGGCCTGAGGTTATCATTGGATTTTATCTGCGGCCTTCCAACATTACCGTATATTTCAGCATGATAATTTCCAATGATATCCTCGTGAAAGAGCTACTCGATTTATGAATTTCCATCTGGTTGAATATCACCTTCATGTCTCCTAATTCTCTTGTGGTACTGCAGTCTTTACTACACCGCGCTCAATATTGGAACCCCTTCGCAGAAGTACTTCGTTCAAGTAGATACTGGGAGCGATCTATTGTGGATCAACTGTAAACCCTGCTCGAAATGCCCCAGGGAGAGTAATTTGAAAGTGCGAATTCTGCACACTCTAGTCTAATTGTTTCATATAAATGTGTCGATTTACTAGAGTTGCAAGGCTATTTCGGATATTGCCACTTCTGGCTAGAAATCGGATTGTTCGTATAGAATTGTTTTAGTCTTTCGTATTGTTACTCAGCTATGGTTAATTTTGCTTTGACACGTAAATGAGAGTTGTACGAAGTAGCCACAAACCATCTCTGCTTACAACGGAACCTTGAAGCCTCTCAATTTGTGTACTGAACATTTTCTGGGTTTTACGCAGATTCCTTTAAATATTTACGATCCTCAAGAAACCTCTACTGTAAAAAACGTTTCATGTCTATCAAGCGATTGCAAAACACTGGCTACTATTTCAGCGAGCAGTTGCATTGATAAAAGCTGTTATTATGGTTTTGGATATGGCGATGGAAGTACAACCATGGGCTACTTGGTCGAAGACGTCTTGACGTTGGCCACCGTAGTATCGAACAACACCGTAAAGAATGCTACCGCAGACATTGTGTTTGGGTGAGACAAGCTGTCCATTTTATGCTGTATTGGACTTAAAATGTAGTCTTCCCAGCTTTGGGACGTAGGTGTCATCTCATGTCTTGTCTCCTGGCGTTGCTGCCATTGGAAGAATTCCTACTTTACTAGTATACTTCTCATTTACCAATGCAGTGCTCCTTGTTGTCCATTCGAGGCATTGTTCTTTGGAATTTGTACTTAGATGTCGAGTTAGTTCACGTTTGCAAATTTCGGGGCTTCTGCATCAGCCAAATTTTGACATTCACAAACGATGGACAACCAGGTGTGGTTTCAACCAAACAGGAACATCTCTGACATCATCGGACCGTGCGGTGGATGGAATTCTGGGTTTTGGACGACAGGTGTTATCAGTTGTATCTCAACTAGCCGACAATGACGTGACTACCAATGAATTTGCTCATTGTCTTCAAGGAGATACTGGCCACGGAGGCCTCTTTGTAGTAGGTGACGTGCAAGAGCCTGGGCTGGTATATACCCCAATGCTTGCCAACGAGTAAGTTGTTGTATTGAAGGCAGTTCTAAGGATACGTAATGTGGAAAGATCTTCGAGACTTCTTATAAAGACCTGATCAATATTTATTTTGAATGCAGGTTTCATTACAATGTGAATCTACAAAAGATCGCAGTCGGTGACGTTACATTGAATATTGATTCCAGCGTTTTCGCATCAAGCAACGATGGGAGTGGTGGTACTATATTTGATAGCGGGACAACTATGGCTCTTTTTGTCGACAAAGCCTACTTTGCTTTCTATAACCAGGTCAGTGTCAGGCTTTGTAGAGGCTTCATGCGTTTCTGAAGTAGGTAACTTACAAACCTTCATTAGTAGTATGTGACTATCATACCATGAAGACTATAGACTATGACTCTCATAACGAACACAGAATTGCATTATCACCTTCTTACAGTTCAAAACAACCTCTGAATTCACTACTTGTAGTGCTCACTTATCTCCGTAGCTTGTCATCTACTCAGAGCGTGCAAGAAACAGTAGCGCTCTTAATTCTGTGATTGCATTGCATTGCATGGGCAAAGCAGTCTGGAGAGATTTTTTTTAAGAAATATATGCTACCTATGGGAGTGCACAGTACTAAACTATGATTATACCTTTATCACGAGAATCAGGATCCCTCGCTTCTTTCCCTTACCATCGTAATCAGTCTCTTGTTGGCCTTCATTCTTGGCTTCCTTTGGCTTCTGCTATCTGCTTTTACTTCCACTTCTCTCCCTTTATCCTGCAAGATGCACTAGTCTAGGTCAGGTGAAGATAACTCTGTCGTCAGTTTCAGACCTACGTAGGTTAGTGTCAGGCCAACTAATTATAGCAAGCCCAACCAAGTACTATGTAAATGTACTCAGATGTCTTGACACATATTGCATAGAACTCTAAAGCAATGCATCCGTGCTGTTGTGTAATTCGCATATGTAACCTCTTTTTTTGGTATTTGCTTCGATGTAGCCTAATTTTAGCTAGTGTTGAAATGTACTTGAAATGGTGTAAATTGTCGAAGATTTATGAGAGCAACATGAGTTAGAGGTAAACAAGACTATAAGTTTCCAATAACTATATGAACTTAAAATACATAATTCTCGCCAGTCTGTAGTACGTCGAAAAACTTTTTATTAAAGTCACGGCTACGTTGGTTAAGCAGATCAAATGGTATACACAGAAAGTTTTGAAAGTTTTTTGGCAATCATAACTATCCCTGTTCCAGTTACGTTGCCTAACAAGGGAGAAAGATTTGTAGTGGACTGAAACCCATGCACTAACAATATCATCCCCTGAAAGCAACGTGCACAAAAGTTGGCAATTGTTACGAAGACTGCGATTCGAAGAATCTGTCGCCAATTGCTGCATAATGACAACTAAATTCGATGGATCAGTTCATTTTTGTAGTGTCTGACCACTGATCACCAAGGCATTGGTTACCGTCGCCAAATTCCTTACGTTCTTGACTGTACGTAGCGCGTGATCAAAAACTTCAATTGATTGCGAAGTTGCCTTTGCTTGTCCTTCTCGGTCCGGTCTCGGTTTTAATCTTGAGCTGAAAGGATTCTATGGCTGTGGAACGGGGATTGATGTCTTGGATTATTCATGTGTCTATGGCTTGCCCACCTCTACCGTGCAATCTTTTTTATCTATATTATGACTTTTTCTCCTTTCTCGCAGCTCCTCTCAGTCATAGATGTACCATATATTACGATCGAGGACGTAACATGCTTTGAGTACTCAAGCAGGTACTTCTGGCAAAACTGTCCTTTTCTCAAGCATGTACTGGAATAGTATGCAATGTAGATGCATTTGTTGTCCTCATCCTTCGAGCGGATTTTACATTTTATTGTACTTTTGTGTTCCATATGCTGTATTTCATTCCATTTCTTTCATAATCTTGGAAAGGAGAAACAAAAACAATTGAATAGAGTAAAAAAACAAGTAAACTACAGCGATCGGTTCCAGAACTTTCTCATACTTATGAGCATTTGCAGATTGTGTAGAGGTCGAGGACTCACGTATAGCAATCTTCTCTTCCTCATTTTCTTGAACTAAATGTCTCTGTAATGTGTTCTGCAGAGACTTAACTGGCGTCTTTCCTCCCGTTACGCTTATTTTTGAAGGTGCCGAGATGTACCTCAAGCCGGAAAACTATTTGTACAGGCAACAAGTGGTATATATATATATTACATTCCTCAGCTACCTGAACTTACGGCTTCAGTCACCTTATAAATAGGAGTTTCAGCTTCGTGTTATATACCAGATGTCTAACTTCGCTAGTTTTCGTCGCAGGATTATAAACTTTTCTGGCATTACAATTTCCACACTATGGGCCTCATACTTAATCTCATCACTATACTGAACTCATTACTAAAAAGATGTTTGCTTTGCCTTGGAAACAGACGACGTCTTCGCAATGGTGCCTAGCCTGGTCACCCAGCAGTTCCTCTAGGCTGGATTTATCAATCCTTGGAGGTTTGTATATCTGGTCTTATAACACTCAGTTGGCCTTTTCTGGATGACATGACATTACACGTGCAGGTTTTGTAAGTACTTCCGTCTTGGACAGGAGCACATCTTGATGAAAGAGATAATGATTGTCAGACCAATCCACACTGCAGCACGGTTTACTTGTGCTCACTGTGGAAGGAAGGTGTGAGTTGGGATAGTTAGAAGTTTTTCTGACTGGTCACTCTGTGATCTCTACCAATACATTACAGGGGTAAAAATACGTAAAATAGGTGTAAAGGATGGTCATTTAGAACCTCAATAAATGTGCGGAACGGAATAGAAGATGCTGTGGCTTGTTTTTCCTGGCTTGTTATTGTCGCTAATCACACGTCTTCTCCTACTGTCTTGTGTTTTCAAACCCAGATATCGTGTTGAAGAACAAGTTGGTGGTTTACGACAACAACAATGGACAAATAGGATGGATGGACTTTGATTGTGAGCACTTCTATCATTTGTCTGCTCTAATCGATATGGTCACAACTTTCTCATATTTCGTATTGTCCAACTTAGAACACTGAAAACTGCTGAATTTTGTTGCATACGTTACTTTGCAGATGAGTTTCCCATTTTTAAAGCATTCTCTCATGTGTCCCCTAAATTTAACTCTTTGACTTTGTTGTGTACCCAGGCCAATCAGTCGTGAAAGTTTCCAACGGTTCTGGAAGTCAGGAGGTCAGTCCAAATCTTGTCAATATCAGTTCAGGTTCTTCACATTCCTTCGCAGTAGGCCTTCAGGTGTTCACAACATTTTTCGCACTAGCCTCCTTAACCTACCTTCTTTAGAATTGGAGGCCCATTAGTGTAAAGGACTTACTCCTATTTGAAAATGGTCTGCACCTGATTAATTTGCGGTCCATAGAGCGTATTGGCTCAAGCACAAGTCGTAACTTGTATGTGAGGGCGGACGTAATGCTAGAGACATTGTCACTAGTATATGTGGATCTTCTGGGAAGTAACATGAGTGATTTCCTGGGATGGTTCAATCGAGCATGCCCAAACGGAATGTATAGGCTACATCCTGAAGAAGCAGAAGCAGAGAGTGAAGAATTAACGCGGTCTGCATTGTTTTTCAGTGTACATCGATTGTCGATGTGTCAAAAATTTAATTCTAGAAAGTTCCACGAAAAGTTAGAAGGTTGTGATTCTGCTTGTTTCTCTGTTCACACTGTGGGATAGTGAGTTTTCATATAGCCCATTCAACGTGCTTGTTAGCGTTGTCAATTTTGTATCGAAGTTGTAGATCTCCTCTGATCCTCGTCAGTAGTGAGGCTCAGAGGACGTGTGAAGTGCAGGGACAGCGTCCATCTGTCTACGAAGTACATTATTCTTGCAGCCGTTTGTCTTCACTTGCGGACTATAATCAATCAGCACAATGCATTTAGCCCTGTGCATCGTACCAATCTGTTTTAACTGAGACGTTTCTTCTTTTCCGGGGCTGCTCCACGCATGTGTCGAGTTGGTGAGACGATTCTTGTAGCTCTTTTTAAATACGAGATATCAAGGATCTTCCCTGTTTTTCATTTTTTTTATTTGCAATATATTCCTTGTTATTAAAGATTTTGCGAAATTTTTGCAAGTTGTCACTGATTGACGAAGTTTATTTTACCCTGGTAATGCGGAAAGAAGTTCCCCTTGTATGAGTAGACGGGAACCAGCGACTCTTCTATTCCTGTTTGGGGGCACATGGCAGAAACAAATTAGCTCAGATATGTCACGTTGATATTTCACCGATTGTGAATCACCTAGTGATACATATACTGAGTACAAGTAAGGACGAAAAGCCGTATGAAGATACTCGAAAACTAGACTTAAGCTGTCTTGAACTTTGTGTGCAGAACAAAAGGAAGTCTAAACGATCTCACGGTATCAAAATCCAGAGCCATACTTGGAACTTTTGGCCCTGCCGCTTAGTGCTGTTGTTGTACTCTATTCTAGGTGCAAGCTGCTCTTTGAACTTGGAAATTCATAAAACGGAGTTGTCGGACCACGGTGCAAACTTCAATCCTGTGCCAGTTCTGTTCACTGCTAGGACAGCAAAGTCATCGAATATAACCCTTGAGTGCAAATTTTATGAACGGGATCCAGGCTGATTCTTCGATGTAATTCATAATACATGCAATACTATAAGTGCAAGGCCATTCTCTTTGGTGGCATCGAAAGATCCGAATCCACGTATTTGTTCCTCAATCTCAAACAGTTCTCATCTGTGAGGCTACAAATTCCCTTGTAATTCACACATGGAAAGTAAAAGCAACTATCCAAACAAGTGATATACACATGTGAAAAATGGGATTTATTCGGACTATAATTCGTGCCAGGAATATATATAGACTAGCATATCAAGATGTAGGTCACCAACTGGTCGTCCTTCTAGAATGAAGAGATGAAAGGTTATCATACATACATGATTCTTCCATTTTACGGAAACAGTATTCTGATCGATGGTTACGATGTCCTAGATAGAGTTTTGATAAATGGCGGACTGAAGATAGGGAATGAAGTACCCCTTACTTATCATCCCTTTGGTTCGGCGATCCAAAGGGAAGTTTAAGTAGATTTTAACTTTTACGATTCTTTTTTTTAAACATTTTCTGAAGGAGAATTGAGAGGGAGGCGCTCAACGATGACAATCTGCTTTCCTATCTAAAAAGACGCGTTCGAAGATACATAAACACTCACTCGATAAGTAAATAAATAAAGAGAAATCTGAACTAACGGAAGCCTCATTCTCTCTTGGAAAGCGCTGCTAACGAGAAATGAGGTAAGGTCCAAAGCCATCATCATCTTCTGCGCTAATCTTTCTACCCATCTTCAGAGCAATATAGATAATATAGACTTGCTATGCAAAAGGATAACGTTTGAAAAGATGAAAGAGGTATGATCTTTGTATAATCTCGTCATGAAAGTGCTTGCTCCACGAGGCGTTTAAGTCTACTTCTGTATCCGTGTATCTACCAATGATGCTAGTTTCTGCAGATCTTTCAGCAGAACTCTTAAAAACATAGAAGACACCCCAAAAATTTTACACTATCGAAATATGTAAAGATGGACCGATAATGAAACTTCGGAAGTTGATGACGGGTTTGATTAAATCCCGCGATTTGCTTAAAACCGTTGTAAGTAAGTAGCCCTTTAAGTATCGAGCTCGTCCAACAACACATAAAAAGTCCTCCCTTACCCCTGCGGAGTTTTCGATTAAATCATGTTCTCCCCTAATAATATTTTTTTGAAAAAATAATAAATTATGAGAAAATGACAAAATACAGAAAGCCCAAACAACTCAGTTTTGATTTCTCGAACATACTCGTAAAAATTTACGAGGATGAAGTTATTCCGGGAGAAGTAAGTAATAGCTTTTCATATTTTTTCGAAGAAGTCTCGAGAAGGCCATCAATTGTTTCAATTGGAACGCCTATAACTTGGAAGAAGCTATCCTCAAACCTTCGAATACATTCTCTGTCACAAATCCTTACACATAATGGTATTACGTGTGATTATCAAAGTCTAGATACCTCTATGCAAATAAAACCTGACCATTCTGTACTCGCATCTCGACAGATAAAAGGGAGATGAATGTAGTGAAGCTAAAGAGATCAGTTGTTAAGAGTTAAGTGTAGGAAACTTTTGGTAAAATCTTGAGAGGTTGAAAATTCTCTTAACACCTCGACAAAGAATAATGAAAATGATGATTACGAACTACAGATCAAAATGACTATCATAAGTTACTTTTAATACAGGAAAGTTAAGGTTGATGGGTACTTAGACATTGAGAATGAAAAAAGATTGGAGAAAAATCTAAGAATAGCAGGTAGATATTGTTGCTTTTGGAGAATGAAGAGGTCGTATCTGAACAAAAGTACGAGAGTTTCCTCTTGTCCACACAATGGAGCATGGGTTGGGCATGGAGTCCCAGCTGCATAGGAAACAAATGCCAAGTCAATTTATGTTTTAACTCCTAAGAGATTTAACAGGACGACGGTTGAAGTGAAAGAAATCGAATGACGATTGAATATCTACCACAGCTGCATGTCTGGAAGACATTCGAAGATGGAAAGCCAATCACCCGCATTTCATCAAAATAAGTGATATTATTCATAAAAACGTTACACATTCAATTCTTGGAAACTCAATTTGCGATAATACTAGCGTATTAATATTAAATTGTTGATAGAAGTGATATTTTTTTGTGCAATTTGTATTATTTGAAATATTTTATGATGTTTGACATGTATTTCGTTGATATTGACATTCGTTCTTCATGTGAAGCACAATGCTGACTTATGCATACTTTGTTAGATCAATATTCTAAGAATTAATAGTTTACTCGTAGATGTATATTCAACTAATGTTAAATCACATTTCATTAAAGTTACAATATTCATGTGAAGTGCCATTCTGCGGTATGGTTAGGACGTCCCGACTACTATCAGATTAATTTACAATAACGATTAAATGACTGATCATGGAATACAAATTATAATAATGTTAATTACATCAATTTAATGTTTACATTAAATTGATATAATTAACATTGAAAAATTTACATGTTGTAATATCTACATTCATTAAGTTCAAGGCGATTCTGCAGTATGATTAGAAGGATTCATAGCCATTTCGGGGGTAGGTTTTGCGCCGGACCTGAGCTATCTGCTGTTAAACACAAACAGCCCACTTCCAGGCACCGACTTCACCTCAAGTAAAGGCTTGACTTATTCCTGATTAAATTAGATTGCAAAGAGTTTCACATTGTAGCAAAGACAACCAATCATGCTTTTGCCACCATTTGTTGTTACTCATACTACGGCAGGTTATCCTTGGTCCTACTCATTCACAAAGGAAAGAATCCTCAGCTGCATAGAAACATATAAAGTTCAGACGAAGGTTAAAATATTTCCGAACACGAAGTTGACGAATCTGCTGTTTAATGTAGTTTGCTGTCTACTCGACATACTAATATACCGTTCAGATTGATGAATGAGAAAGTGATATGCAGTCCTTTGTGACCATGCAGATGATCTAAAACGATAAATCTAGTGCTAAGCATTTGAGGACCAGTTTAGTTCGGTTCAGAAGTAGTGATAATAATATATTACTCAGAAGCTCAGAAGTTGCAATGCACTGTCAATGAGGAACTATTTTCCTTCTTCGCCACTCTTTTTTCCGTCAATCCTGAGCAGGAGCTTACGGATCGTTAGTCGTTGGTTGCCAGCTGGTGTTTTCTTCCCCCTTTGGTTCCCCTCCGTTGTGCGGGACGTGAAGAGGAAGAGAGAGACAGAGAGAGAGAGAGCGAGAGAGAGAGGAAGGAAGCCAGAGATCTGAGAACGGTATGGACGGGGGAATATGATCGACGTTCACGTAAGTCAGCGAAGGAAAAAATGGCTCCAAATGTCCCTCGAATTAATCGACCGCTCGAGTCAATGCAACTCCAACAGAATGAATTGCACTCGACGGAGGAGAATGTGGAGCAGTTCAGAAGTGTTTGAGCCTTATATCTGCTCGAGTGCTCCTCGCATCCCGCTTCCCTATCTGCTCTAACTCCAGTCTAATTACAAAGCCGATCTCTTTCTCGGGAGAGATCTTGGAGCAGTTTTTGAGGAAATTTGTGTCTTGGCTTGTGAGGCCAGGAGGCGGAGGAAGAATCCATCGCAGACATGAGTAATTCGGGTTTGCATTGTACGCACGGCGAGTGACGGTTGTAGTCTTCGGACGAGCGATTTCAAGACTTCGAATGATCTTCGGTTCTCAAAACTCGATTCCTCCGTTACGTCGAGAACGCTTTGATGCTCGATACTTCCTTGAATTCGTGTACGTTCTAATCCCCACCGCCCTCAACAGATAGAGGTCGGTTGTGCTCACCGCATTACATTACATCAGTCGATCGGTTTGTTTCTTCTGGGCGACCTTGTTATCTATCCCAAGGATTGGAGCAGTGGATCGTTTGTCTCGGCCGTGACTTTTTGCGAGCCCTTCAGCTGAATTAGAAACCTTGTCACATAACAACAAGAAGGCTCCACTTCGTATCGAGTTTCGATGTCTATCAGAGAAAGAGACGAATCAGCAGACGGGGGATCACCACGACACGACCTCCAGTATTTATCTCTAAATAACGATTGTCATGAACGCGCTGAGTGCCCGAAGCCAACTCATCAACGCCAATCTCAGGAATTGGGTCCAAGAGAGGCACGCATCTGATCTGATCCTCCGTTGTCAAGTTTAGATCAATTATAATCAGGAACGCTGAGGTGGCTTGATGCGTGGTCGTTGATGCGCACTTTGACTACATCGTTTCTGTAATTGAACAGAGCAGTTACTTCATACATCTGAATTGAGGAGTTTCTATCGAGCTTAATCTCATGATATGTTCGTGTGTGCTTAAGCTTCAAGAACTTGAAGGCTTGGAGAAGTACGGGCTCGAGACGCCGCAGTCCCAAGGCAGAAGCCCCTTGCCCGCGAGCAACAACGACAGTCAACAGATTCATAACCTGTTGGACCCGAGTCCGGGCAACGGGCTCAGGCATGGGCTTGCTCTGCCGCAGTACAAAAACAAAAGAACCCCGTACGCGAGTCACCTCGACAGTTACCAGATTCATAACCTGCTGAATCCAACCCGAGGCATCAGGTGAAATTCAACCGTAATCGATCGTCGGGACGGCTGCTGCTGCTCCTTTCTTTCTGTAATCATGCATCTCCAAAAGTTTCATGCACACGGAGCTGGACATTGAGCTCGTCACGGGCCGGGACGTAATCTGATTAGGGGTGGTTATGTCAGAGATGAAATGCGAAGGAGGGGTATCACACCCCGAAACCATCATAAAGCAAACGTGGCGGCCATTGCTACAACCAGTGCGAAGCTTCACAATATCAGAAATGTATAAGAAACTCCCAGGCGCTTGGTACTCATGCTTTCGTGGTCTGAAATCGACACGGACAAATTGAACTCGTTCATTTCATCCAACTTCTCCCACCGTAGAAAGCAAAGAGTAACGTCAGCTGCTCACGTTATCGATCATCCCAGATTAGTCTTCTGGTTGGTTAGCTTGGGCAATGACGTCATGCCAATCCTGTCAAGAGGAGGAAAGGTCCTCAAGTTAACTAAATCGTTCAAGAAGTAAATCGGTTTTCAGTCTTGGAAGACAGTCATCCTACTTTGTTGACATTCTCTAGAAATTTGCAGGGAATCGCCGAGGTTGACCCGCCAGACGGCAGAACCAGCCGACTGAGAAACTCCAGGGTAAGGGCAGGAGCTTCCATGCTCGTACAAACTAACATTCGCCAGAGCGGGTATCTATGAGTCGTCTGTTCATGGCTGAACGTGACTAATTTGTGTACATATTGATTATTTGCTCCATGACCAGTGATCTTGATTCAGTAGCTCTGCCAGGGTGTATATTGATGAACTTATGTATTGTAATCTTCCTCATTCCATGCAGAGCGATCTTCCAGACGTGTATGGTCGTGGAGAACGCTGCGAAACTCCAGATAATGCCTCGGTCATGACTTCGGTGAATCCTTGATCCATTCACGTTTGATAGCTTGATGACTTTCTAATCTGGACGAGCTCCTCCCCTGATAGCTCACATTGGTCTGAGCTCATGTGGTTTACTCGATTGGCTCCTTCTTCACTAATAACGAGCTGCCCGTCAGTTGACAATTCTGATATTAGCTGTCTCAAAGTCCACGGAAAGCTGAGTACACAAAATAGCAGGTTTGAAGAGATTGACGCGTTTTCGTCTTGGCCATATTTTAGACCACCCAACAGTCGAAGGGCAAAAAGAACTCTCTGAGGATTGACTATATGGCCAGAAACATCGATGGCCTTGCAACAGCTGCTGCTGCTGGCAGAAGAAAAATGAGTGCGAATGTTGCAGAACAAAAGCCTAGTCATGAAAACTATGGCAGAGTACCAGCTTAGTAAGCTTTCTCTGACCTTTCTCCGTTCATCCGATCACCAACCAGTACCCGCATTGCTCGAGTAACCCAGTCTCGCGTAAAAAGATGTAGATATTGACTAGATCCTTTTAGAAACATAATCTTCTGTAGAAACATAACAAGAGCTTTTTGCATGTACTGGCTTTGGAATTGGTCCCAATGTTGAATTAGTTTCGAACTTGAGCTAGACCTGCATGACTACATATTTCCTCGGGACGATGTCCATGCACCTCTCAGAGAAATTTAGAACAGTGCCTGATCACTCGCCCGAGAAACTGCTTGGCTTTGACTTCAGCTTGTCACCTTATTCCTAGTCAACCTTAGAGAGTGAATTTATGTGGTGCTTTCGGTAGTAACATTTGAACTGGTAATGCTTATATGGATATTTTTGCAAAAATATACCCGAAAAATACCTTGCATAGAAGTATCTGGTTGCTGGTCTCTGCTCAATGGGTTCAATGGAACCTTCGACTGCGCGGGCCAGGCATGAGAATCAAATAGCTTACCAGATCTGTTCCTCCTGGGAGCATTTTCACTTCAAAGCGTCAGTGGACGGACAAGAATGTCTTTGGAGACCAAGGAAAATGTCATGGGACCACCATGTTCAAAAGTTGAAAGGATAATACAATCCCGTACCTGCCAGTATCTATCTCGCCATTTTTATAAAGTGCAAAATAGAATTTGAAGCGCTAATTCAAAACGAAAATTGTCCTGCAGTTTGTCACGGAGGAAGCTTGAGCTGGAAGAAGACAGAGAAAGAAGGTTGAACGTTGCCAACTAGAGCTTTGCAGGAAAACAAACACTAGCTGCAGTTGTTGACTTGAACAAAAGGCGTAGAGAAAGAAAAGATACTGGCTCTTATCATACTTCACCTTGCTGTCCCTTTCGTCTAAACTGGCAAGAGGTGGATATAATAATGAGTAGTTCGGTCCTTATATTGGTAAACAATTGCTATTTTCACCGTTCTAAATCATAAGTATATGCACAGATCGATTTGTATATACATTGATGTCTTCTTCTTTGGTATGTCCGGAGCCATAAACACATGTCAAAGTGCATGTTCTTCATGTCCCGGATATTTTCTGTAAAGTTTATGCTAATCTTTGTATCAATCTGTCAGGGTGCAAGAGGCGAAAGAAAAGCATCTGCCACCTGGTTTGGTATTGATGAAAAATGAAGAAAGGCTGGAGGTTCTCAAAACACTGGAAGACAGTATCCTCCACCACCTGCTCGTCCTTTCGTACCGCAAACATGTTCTTGTAATTCATTAAGTCATGATATTGCCTAACAAAATAGCTGATTATTTGATACTGTTGATATTTGATCTGTCAGTCGTTGGATATTCCAGATCAATCGTCATCTGTCGAACAAAATCCATGAGGAATGGGGGTCAAGTCTGCAAACTGCTGTTACGTAATTGAGTGATGGTCTTGACATACACAGATCGAGACAAATTGGTAAACAAGTTGTCTGGCATGCCATTGGTGGTCGAGACTCCAACTCAGATCCGTAGCAAAGGGGACTTAGATGCACAATTGAAAGAAGTGGAAGACTCCATAAAAAGATTTTCTCGGCAAAGGGTTTACATTCGTTACAGCCAATAGTACGAGGAGAAACATTGCGGGAAAACGGGGAAGGGGTCCATAATTGTGCTCTTGAATATATGTATTCTGTTTCTCTTTGTGAAAGTAGTTACATAAAAATTATTTATTCATTTTGACAGTATTTGAGCCGAATGTGCCGTGTAAGTGAGGTGGTAATCACAACTCGAATACTGAGTCGAATCAGTAAAGTATCTGCTTCTTTTGTTTTTGTGGAGATTTTTTAAAAATTAAAAATGCTGAAAAGATTAAATTGTTGAAGACATCGGTAGGTACGACACAAACTGCATGGAGGTAAGTAGAGATAAGATTACCGAGTACACGTCGCTCTTGTTGATTACTCGTGCGATCTCGGTGCTTTTAATGTGGTATCTCCATTCATTGCAATTACCAGAAGAGAGCACAGCAGATCATATTTCGAACATTTATGACACATTGGTGTGTTTGTGAAACTGGAGAGAAATAGAGAAGATTTTTGTGTAATTATCTCTTTAGATTGTAGTGACAATATATCTTTGGATTTTTACACAACAATTTGCGACTAGATAATTGATTCTAGTTGCCAACATTCAAGCTCATGTTATGAAATGCACAAAATGAATCATCCTTTGTGTAGATAACATGTGAAATGTAAGAGCTCAAGATCAAATTTGCGATGCTTAAATTATAATTCTAAGAGGAATAAGAATAATATCACCAATGTTATCATACCTTACATATGGTATGATAACATTCATCCTGCATGAAAATAATGCAAAAAACGTTGTAGCAACATTGTAGAGTAGAAGTATTCTTGGGAAATAAAGGTAGAGTAACAATTAAAGAAACTAGATCTATATCCAAACTAACCTTGATAAATAAGACATGAGAATGTTTGAATATGAATCTCATGAATGTAACCTTTACTCATATTGCTAACATCAACAGACAAACGGAATCGAATGGCAAGTACTGCTAAGTGATATATTGTCAAATGTTAGGCTACAATGAGATTAATAAAATTAAAATGGTAGTTCCAACATTTAATTGTTGATTTTCGGATGGAGTAATCAATAATGGATGAAATTGTCATATCTTAGTTACGTTAGATCATGCATATATTTCAAAAAGACAGAAAATGACGCGTAGTTATATGTGGAAGATGAAATGATAAATACTTTTTCAAAAAAAATTACCTAGAGATTTTTTCAATTCATATAAAACACTTCTTTTTTACACAAAATAAAGCTGTTGTTTTTAAGTAACATACAAGGAAAATGTGAAGAAGATGAAAAAATCATCCATTTACAATCACATATGTAGGTCATAACAAATTAAAATTAGACTGGTTGGAGTACTGAACATGACTTCAACGGCAAGTTGCTTGATGAAGATACTTGATATATTCATTCATATCATCAAGAAAGAATGCAGATCCTCAATGAGATACTATTTCTAAAAACTAATGCTAGAGAAATTTCAATTTTTTTTATAATGTTGATGTACATCATGAAATCAGTAAATAAACCTGTCAAGAAATGAAGATGATTTTCTGTCAAAGTTTTGTGTAGCAAAGTTTCACAACAATTATATCGTTGGTGTAAGCAAAAAAAAACTATGTGAAGATGTCAAGTCACAAAACTTGTTAACATTGAGCAAGACTAATAATCAAAAGGCTCGTGAAACTAGTATATCGCAGTAAATCAAAACAAGCTTTGATATATCATGCATCACATCTCAAAATAATGTCAAGAAAATTTAACAAGAACAATGAGTGAATTATCTATATGAATTATATATGATTAAGACATCTTATAAGATTAAAAAAATTTTCAATTAATATGAAATTCTTAAAAAATACTGAAAAATTTATTAATCTTTTGTGAAGATTGAAATCATAAAAAAAGAAAATTGAATATTTAAATAAAAAATCTTGAAATATTTAAAAAAAATTTGATTTAACCAAAGATTTTGATTGATTCAAACTATTGATTTTTTGTATTATATAACTATGGATGAAGACAAAAATTATTGATGATGTATAATAATATGTTTAAAATTGAAATTTTAATTCATATCAATTATAACATTCAACAGATTATGACAAAACAAGACACATTTCAAAAAGATTGCTCTCTTTATATATCTTCAAAATATGAAAAATTGCTTAAAAAAATATTTGGGAAAAAATTTGCTTTGATCTACTAAGAAATATGTTTTGTGCATGTTTTATGGAAAATTCGTATGGCAATTATATTATGTAAATCAAGATGGATTATTTGAAAAGATTGGATAAATCAAATTTGAAAAAAAAGTATACATAGATTTTGGAAAATGTAGAATACTATGTGAAATATTTCGATTTGAAATATAAATTTAAAAATATATATATCAAATATGATGATGAAAGTAGTATGATAAATTTACAGAAATCTTTACTTTTCAAACAGAATGAATTGAATAATATAGAAAAATATAATAAGAAGTTAAAATCAATAGTTACTACCCTATTCAATTACTAATTTTAAATATATAAGTAAGTAAATTAAGAATTAAAAAAATTTAAATCAAATTGAAAATTATTATTTAAAAAAATAAATTCCAAAATATGAAATATTGCAAAAAGATTTTATTCATAGAATAGATTTGATAGAGTATTAATTATACTTAAAATAAAAAAGACTATGTACTACTAAAAAATACTATATATTATGTTTAAATCTTAAAGGTTTTACTATAATTCTGATTTGACTTATGCACTTTAGAATTTGAGTTTAATTTCTCAGAAAATTGATCATTTTTCAAGATTTACTGGGTTTTTTAAATTATATTGGAAATAAAAATCATCACATTTAATTCAACAATATCCAACACTTGAATCAAATTGGGATTATAAAATAGCACCAGTTACGCATAAGTTATCAAAAGTTTTATGTATCCTTGTATATACTAAATTTAGACGTCGAGCTAGGATTACTGGTCACGTACGTTATAGGATCGATGAGGACTCAAAGAACGTCAATTCTTTCAGTCCTCGTCGTTGGAGTAGTGAGTGTACTCAAGCATCAACATGTATACTTAAAACGAGTTGGTCGGGCTCGACTTATGTACGTGTGACGGTTTCGTTGCCAGTGGGGTAATCAAGATTGACGTGTTTTTCAGTGGAAAAAAACACGTAATTTCACTCAAAGAACTCACGTTTTTGCTTTTATTGAAAACATCATTGAGCCGTTAGGGATTTGGAGTCATATAAGATAGTGACGTCTCCGTTTTTTTCTCATCGGATGTCAAGAGATGCACGAAGCTTTTATAGTTGTGTGTAGAGTGTGATATTGGCGGGAGTCTGTTTTCTGAGTATCACAAGTTCAAGAATATGCATTTGTGCGAGCTTGGAGTTTGCTCGACACAATGTTGAGCTAATTCTGAGGAAGTGACAGTTCTGGGGCTACAAGGTGGCTTTGCAGTTTGGTAGTTGAGATCGAGGTCACGTAGTTCTTGTTCTGGAAGGAGGGAAAGTGATAATCGATTCTTCGGTTTGAGTAAGGAACCCGTGGAAGGAGGAAAAGTGATAATCGATTCGTTCGGTTTGAGTAAGGGGGCCGTATTTCTCCATAGTGGTAATTGTTGTTTACCACCGCAGCGTAGGGTAATCTGAGATTAGTGAGTGAGTTCCCCTCGCGCGCATCATAGCTCTTTGTTTCTGTCACTCTATCATGGAGAGTTTCAGTTCTATAGAAATATAAGAACGAGGTGTTGTCCGACGAAGAGAAGTGCTCCAAAAAGCTGAAGGTTGGAGGAAACAACGAGGATGGTGCGGCAGAAGGCGCAATAGATCCTCTTGCGGTGATTTTTTTTTTCTATTCTTTGAACTTTCGTGAACGATATGTCTCGGCTGGTTTTTTTTGTAGCAATTGACTTTGATACATGTAGTTCGAGGAAAGATTTATGAGACTCTTCAGGATTGAAAATTTACGGTTTTAGGATGAGGGGATTTAACGCAATCAGTAATCGTCTTGTTAGTTTATCTAGAGGATGGAGATGGTGGAAGTGGTCACTAGAAAAGACTTTCAAGAGGTCTTTTATTGATGAAACTAAAGAACTGAAGATTTGCACACGTCCCCTTTCCACGAACAAAGTGAGAGACTGGTGTACAAAGTTGAAAGCATTTTGTGGCGGTCGCTACTAAGCTGTCATCGGATTGTCCAAGTCGATGGGCATCGAGTAGCAATATACTCTGAAAGCAGTTTGGTGGACGTCATTAAAACTGTAACAAACTCCTTTATTCTTTGAAAATATGTACACTAGTGCGTATAGTAATGAATCAAAGGCACTTCTTTGAATTATAAAGAATTATTTATATAAATATATATATTTATATGTACACACACATATATATATATATATATATATTATCACACATATATTATTATATTCATAACTATAAATATGGCGATATGTATTCGCACGAAAAAAGTTTTTTGCAAACACCAGTAATTTTATTTCTATTTACGTTTTTTGGTTTAATTTTAACTATCATAATATAGTATAAATACTAAAAAAATAAAAATATCTTTAATTTTTAGATTTTTTTGAAAAATAAAAAAATTTACATAAATTGTAAATTTTGATACAATGAATAAAAAATTAACATATTTTATTCTTACTTTTTACACTTATTCATTGCTTGTTGTAATAAAAATCATTCTGTTGAAAATGTTTTTTAAGTTTATCTGTTTTATTTTATTAAATGATGATGTTATATAATTTCTTTCATATTATATATTATTAAATAATTTAACTTGTTTTTGAACATCTGTGTAAAAATAACATAAAAAGTAAGATTGTAACAAGGTAAATGCTATTAAAACATGACTTTTTGTCAATTATTTGAAATAATAATAATTTTTATATTTATTTTTAGAAAAAATATACATAAGGTATTTGTATTTTAAAATTTTATATTTTTATATCTATTTATAATTATAAATATTCAAGTTCTTTGTCCATATTGAAAAAGAAATCAAAGTTGCAGACTGTAAGATGAATAATTTTTTATTAATTAAAAAAAACTGTGATACCAAATCAAGAGATTTGTGAAAATGATTATGCAAAAATATATACAAATATTTGATAGAAAAAAATAAAAAATATACAAAAGTAGATTTATATTTGTATATATATTTCATTCATTCATGAATCTAACATGTACAAGTATGTTTTCAGAGCTGCGTATTCATTTGAATCATATAATTTAGAATAAGGCAAACAAATTATCTGAGATTAATAAGAGACAATTGGTCCTATCAAATAGAAGAAAAAATAATCTCACAATAAAAAATTTGAATAGATATATGAAGTTTTGTTCTGAATATGTTGTGTGTTATAAGCTGAAAAGTTGATAACTAAAAATATAAAGTTAATTAATTTAATATTCATAGGATCTTTTTGGAAGACGTAGTATCAAGGTTTTTTTCCTACTTTGATTAATTTCAAAAAAATAGCAAAATATGAGCAAATCAGCCAATTTTTTAATAGCAAGACATTACTAATTTTTTATAGCAAAGCGAAATCTATGTATATTCGTTCATAGATTTTGCTTTGCTATAAAAAAGATTTGTTTGAATAAAGTTTTATCATTCATAATTTCAAGAAGAATAAAAAAAATCAGTTCAATTTGACATATATATTTTCTAATTAATAATTACAATTTGTACTTCACAATTACTATTACAGGTAGAAAACTTGTGTGAAGTGATCTAAATGCTACAATAGGTATCTTTCATTTCAAAGAGTCAAACATAGCTTGATAAACCTTATTGAACTCATATTTGTATATTCAAACGTTATTCATATGTATGTTCTTTGGCACATCTTTTTATCACTCTTGACGAGTTTGATATCTCTTAGATATAAATATCTAAATATATCAATATACTTTGTTCATATAAAATTTTATGATTCTTTATACATTTTAGTACACTAATATCTATGAAACTATTGACACAGAGATCCTCGTATAAAGATTGTTTTTTCACACGTATTATTTCTGCATAAAAAAATCTATAAATTTTTTGGTTAATGATTAGTTTTGACATCTTTGTACTTTTTTAAATTTTCGATAGCTAAGATATACATCTTTGAGATACACAAGTGTTGGATGTTAATATATACTCATTAATATATTATACGCAAGAAAATTCACTCCTATAGTTAAAACAAAAAAAAATTGTTTTTTATCCATCGATTGAACTAAAAGTCTGCAGATTACGTAAACATATCAAATATTTTTCAAATCTTTAATCAAGTGAGTAGAAACTTTGTCAATCATCCAGCAATGAAGAAAAATCTATACTGGTTTGAAAACACTATATTATTGTTGCATTGTTGATGCAATTTCTCAAGTATAAAAGTATGTAAACTTTTAACGTCTATGTCTTTTCCAATCTTGAATCTTGAATCTTGAGGTTAAAAGTGATTATGAACGTGGATTTTGACATGTCGGTGAGACTATGCAAGAGATTATCCTAGTAGATCTTACAGATATCACTCCTTTTGGAATAATGTGTATTCTATTTTAGGAAACATATTTTCATATTTACAATGAAAAACAAACTAGTGCTATCCATAGGATGTCAATCGCCTGAGATGATGAATTTTTTGGAGGCTCTTGTCTTCAGTATAAACTTTTTTAGATAGATAATGTGAATAAATTTAGCTGCATATTTTACACTTGTCATTTTCATGCTTTCATGCCTAGCCCTATGTTAACCGTTCGTTTTCATCATCAGTGTAGGGCTTGATGAGGTCCCATATTCCGTCACTTCTGCTATAATACTTGGTGCCCCACTCTACTAGACCTTGGGTTCGTTAACTTGCATGATCAGCTCTCATCTTCAGATTTTTGCACATAGGGGCTACAAATGTGTGGCAAATTTTATCCTACAGGACAAATTCAAAAGAAAAGAAAATCTCGCGTCGTAGATATTATAATGCGGTGACCTTTTCAGCTTTGCCCACGGGGAGGCGAGAAAAGATCGAAAAGGGACTCGCACACGAGAGATGTGCAGTCCTCCCATCTCATCGCGGTCGATGGAATCCGACGGCGGCGACTGCAGTCGGGCAGGAGAGGCGGGCAGCTACCACGTCGTCTCGCAGGAGGACTGCGTCGCCAGGTGGGAAAGTGCGTGATCCGCCTCATGAGTGCGAACGCGAACTCAAACCATTCCTTCGTTCGTTCGGTCAGGAAGCCCGCAGCCTTTCAAGATTCATCCTCGCCTCGGCCCGGGCCTGGCCATGGATCTCTCCGAGCCTCCCCCTCCGGAGCAGCAGGCAGGGGACCGCGGGGCTGGTCCACGGGAACGAGGGACGGATGGAGGGAGGGCGGGAGGAGAGGGGGCGGAGGGCGATGGGACGAGAGAGATGTTTGAAGGAAGAGAGGGCGGGGAGGGGGCACAGGATGCGATGCGCACCTTATCGTTCATTAGAAGAAGAAGGTGGTTTGGGGGCTGCGTCCAGCCAGGGCCGGGGGGGTGGTGGGGCCGGCTGAGCACTATTTTGCGGAAAGTTGATGATGATGAGAGGGCAGAGCAGAGCAGAGGAGAGCAGAGCTACGCGGGGCGAGGATCCTGATCTTGAGGAACTATGGTGGTTGGGGACTATTTACCACGCCAGCATCTATGTCCGCTTTTGGCGTGATCGTCAATTGACGAAGGCAAAAAATCGGACTGCTTTTCGCAAGCTGAGAGAGGCACGGGGCCGGGAGGAGAGATGATAATGGGCGCATGCGGCATGAATTTGGGTGATGGATTGGACGTCACGAGGCAAGGATTCGCGAGGTACATCAGTCGCCGAGAGCTTTCGAACGTCGGAGTGGTCACTTACGGACGCTGAGGGCCGTTGACTGTATATTTGTAAATGCTGTGCTGGGCTCTGTAGGGCGCTCGTGCGCTGTGGCCGCGTGTGGAGGCGCTCAATGTGGCATTAGCCGATTGTCAGTACAGGCATGGTGAGCAATTCTTATGCTTAATTCTGATTTTCTGATGGCCGAGCCTATGTTCGGTTTTCTTCGAATCTTCCATCGTTCGTTAAGTTGCGTGCATTCTTCAATTGCCGGTGGATTGTTCGTCCGATCCTGTGGTCAGATTCTCGACGATTAACCGAGTGTGTCAACCCTGAGAGATTACCGGCGCATTGGACTTATGATCTGATCCTCGCTGTCGTAAGATTGTAGCTTTAAATGCCTTGTATTTACTGGTCAAAGCTCGTGTAACTCAGCTCAGAAGTGTTCACTTTATGGAATTTCAGTCGGGGGTTGACGTTTTGGTCAGAGGATTTAGTCCGAGATGCAAGCCGCAATATATAGATGCTCATCGCAATTCTTCAAAATTCAGTCCATGCGCTCATGAAAGGTGAGAGCATGGAGTGAATTGCTGGCATTGTCCGCCAACACTACACACGTTTCAAGTGTATTTGTGTGTGTGTGTGACATTTGCAATGGTGTAGATGAGCACACAACTTGGAGGTTGCAGTTTCAGACGAAACTTCGTCTTTAGCTTCGTCCGACATCTGTTCTTCGTCCGACATTTGTTACATGGTGAAGACTGTGGATGAACGTACTCAAACTCGCTTGAGTGATGATTATACTTGATGTCAGTTCCAGGCTGCCTCCACAATTACCGATTGTCCACGATAATAGAAACGGAAGTGTCGCGTGCTAGAAACAGATTTTTCATAGCTTGCATGAGAGCGTGCGAATTCCCAGCGTCGGAAGCTGTCCGCTTTCTCTGCGGAACTCAGTCTTGTTCCTGGAAATTCTTTTGGTCGAGGCAAATTTTTTTCTCAGCCAATCGTGGAGTTCTAAGATCCACTCGCCAAACAAACCGTTTACATTCAATTTTTGTTCCTGTCCTCTGTAGGAGATTTTCGCCACAATGCAGGCCACTTTCACTACTGGACCGCCGCTGAATTCCACGGAAGTTCGCAAGTGTAGGGCTCCTGATGCTGCTCTCCACCAGTCTCTCCTCCACTTACGAAAAAGTCCTAAGGTCTGCAGCGTTCGACACGACGACATATTTAATAGCTCTGGCCTCTCGACACCGGTCAAACCCTTTTTCGGTGGCAAGAGGTAACTCCGTGTTAGGTGCATGTATTGAAGAGTATAAGAACCAAATCCTATTCAATGAGAGGACTTAAGTCGGGAGAAGAACATGCTGTGTGGAGTGTACGTTCGTGAACAATGTACTCAGCTAATTCGTCTATGCGAATAGAGACTACAATTCTGTTCTCTCCCGCTTGTGAGGATTGCTGGATTTTTTTGAATTAAAGTGTTCTCTGACGGATTGCCAATGTTTGATATTTACCTCAGGAAATTGTATAAATGGCAGCGACCTTCTTCTGAGTTGCAGAAAAGAGAAAATCTTCCAAGGTTGCTTGTTACAGCCTCCACGGTAGAGATGTCTGATCCACAATTTTGCTTTCTAAGTTGTTGTCTTAGTTACTAAGCTTCCTGATACTTATGGAACCCTTTTTTTGTACCATGAGTGTTTGGATTTGTAAACACTATGAAAGTAACCCTTTTGCATCGTAGAAGACAAGTGTGATTCATTTTTCTTTGCAGCAATAGGTTCTTCGCAGTATATTTGAGAGTTTCTATGATCTGAAAAGTCTGACCTCAAAAGTTGCTTAGTCCAGTCAAGAACCTCGTGGAATCTGCTAATGTCCTTGATTACAAGATTTCCGTTACATAAGTAGTTCATTCTGAGATGAGGCGGTTTTTTTGACGCAGGCTGGAATTGGTTCAGACAACTCTTCAGAGTCTTCGTTTGGTAGCAACTTTCCTGATCCTGTTTCTCTTAGAGCTGCATTAAAAGCATCTCAGGCGCGAGTTCTCGAAATAGAAAACGAAAAGAGGGACATACTAGAAGCTTTGCGCCAGTCAGAAGCTAAAGTCCAGGAATATGCCGCACTCATGGTTCAAACAACTGATGAAGCCCTCAGTGAGCTTGAGGCCTCTAAGAAGCTTTTCAAGGCAGAGCTGTCGAAGGTACTGGAAGAAAAGTCAACACTTCAAAAGGAGACGCTTTTGGCGAAACAAGACGCCGTAAATCTTGCAGTCAAAATAGAGAAGATTGCAGAGTCTGCGATTCAAGAAGCAACTCAACGCTTCGCTGAAGATTTAGTTTTGAAAGATTCTGCTGCAGAGACTGCTGCAGCAGAAGCAGCTGCTGGAGTGGAAGAAAGCATACGCCTTGCTGCTTCGGATGCTGCTGCATTGGTTGTGACGGAAGCGAGCACTGTAATGGAAGAAGCCCTAGCAGCAGCATCATTGGCAAAGCAGCAGGCAACTAAAGCGCAGGAAGCATTGGCGAAAGGTATGGAAATATTCGAAGAGCTCTCAGCTGCGAAACTTACAACGTTGTCCCTGCAGGAGAAAGTATCATATCTTGAAAGGGAGCTTGGAATATCTCAGGGTATTGTGGAAAGCCTCCGGCTTGAGCTCAAAGCCAGTCAGATGAGGACCGAAGCAGCTAATGCTAGAGCAGCAGAGGCAGAAGCAGCTGTTCAGGAAGTTCAAAGAGCAGCAGCAGAGGATGGCAGGGAACGTGATGATAGGGCCAAGCAAACATTGGAAGAGATCAAGGCGACATTAATATCGAAAACAGAAGTTGCAAGCGTAGTTTTACAAGCAGATCTAGAGGCCCTTAAAGCAGCCTATCATGCTGCACAGGAAGCTGGCAATGTCAAAGAGCAAGCCAATCTTAGAATGTATGAAGCCTTGGAAAGGTCGTTGGCTGCGGCAGAAGGTAGTGCTGAAGCTTGGAAAAATCGTGCGCTTTCTGTGGAGGGACTTCTGCGAAGGGTGAAAGAAGAAGGTTTAGAAGCTGTTTCCAGTGTAGTGGCTGAAGAGATGGTTGCAGGAGGCCGAATGGAGACATTGCTTGGAAATGACTCCAGGAAACGGGATCTGCTCGCGAATGGGCCAAGAAGAGAAACCCCGGAATGGATGAGGCGAAGAATCGAAGTAGGCTTTCAGGGTCTGCCACCGAGATCGTCCATGCCTACAAATTCAGAAATTGAGGCACAAGTGCCTTTGCATTTACCTAGACCAGATGAGGTCTGGTCCATATTCAATGCAAAAGTGAAAGAAGATGATCTGTACACAAAGCAGGCCGTCGAGAAAGAGGCCTTAGATGAGCAAAGGAGAGCTTTAGAGCGGGCCTTGCAGAAGAAAACTGTGAAGCGGCACCCGGAAGATGGAGAAGGAAAACTAGGTGAGAGAGTCTTAAATCATCCTTACTGGACAAGTTCAGCGAACAGAAGCCTGATTCAATAACTTTCGTTGAGGTACCAAGTGCATTATATAAAATGGCTGCATCACTTTAGATGGGTGACCTGCCCTAGTCAATCTTAGTTTTCGTTGGGACATCAGAAAGATTGTTATGTCGTTATTAGCCTTCCGAAAGAGTCTCAGGTTGTATAGAAATGAGATTATCACATAGTCACGTTTCTTCAGGTAATTATTAAGTTAACACACAAGTTATTTTTCTCTTGTATAGATCTTTTACATTCAATCAATCAGGTAGGGTGACGGACCTTACTATGTCCAAGGCATAGTGAAGAAATGTATCTTAGTAAGTGTCAAGTAACTCCCTTTTTTTGGTCGTGGCCTAGTCTCTTCAGTGTTTGTGTACAAACTGATGTCTTTCGTTTATAGCTCTGGTGGCCTAAAGACTAGAGTCTGCCCGCCTGGCTGGGCGGTGCTGGTCAACCTATCTATGAAAATTGATAATATGCATCCTTTCAGACGCTTGGTGCTATTACTAATGACCGTTCAAACTTCGATTTTCCTACAGAATCTGGCACAGGATCAGGCCGAGAAATTGTGGTAACGACTAATCCCTTAGCAATCTGTGTTAGCCCTTCCATACTTTGCTGTATGTATGGTGGTAGATTGTTTTGATGCGGCAGAGCCTGAGCATTAGGACGTGGAAGTTTGATTCGAGAATGTTTTTCCATGAATCTGGCTCCTGCTAGTTTCAAGGCTTCAACTGGGAGAGCTGGAGAAGAAAGTGGTACTTGGAACTTGCTCCAAAGGCAGCAGATTTGAAGAAGTGTGGTATCACAACTATCTGGATGCCTCCTCCCACTGAGTCTGTGGCTCCTCAAGGTAAATTTCCTTCTTTCCTTCTTTCTTCCCGGAGACATAAAGAACGGAGGATCGTGTAGTTGCGTGATCTCTATGATCACAATCCTAACTTTGCTAGAGCTGTGCATCACTGTGGGTGTAGTCTACTTTTCAAGATTATCCTGTTTTGTAGATTGTGTAACAATGCCTAATGGCGGCTGAATGTGGTTCTCAGGGTACATGCCTGGAGACTTGTACAATCTAAACTCCGCATACGGCACAGTAGATGAACTCAAACAGTGCATTGAGGAGATGCATAACAACGACATCCTGGCAAGTATATCTCTCGCGTACGACCCTTTTAACGCTCATAAACCGAGGATAATTTTCTTGCTCCTGGATCCACCCTATCTAGAAATTGCAGGTCCAAGTTTTAATTACTTCTGCAGAAAGGCGCGAGTGAAAGTTGTTTGTCATCACAGGTTAATATCAAGGAACAGTGTACCAAAATATTTTTGTCTACATGTGAAGATTCAAATTAAGAATACTCCATATTCAAAGCCTGTCACCAGCGTAGTGACAATCTTCTGCTATAGATTTTTTTTGTTTTGCAGTCAATATTGTCAATTTTGAACTTTTGCAAGGGGGGTGGGGGGCGTGGTTGGTTATGGGTGAGGGCTGAAAGGTAAAATGTACCTACTTACTTTGCACTAGAGGTGCTTTCACAACCATATTTCCCTGAAATTAAAGGAGCATTTTAGGTATGTACGGTAACAGTACGTCTGTTACACTTTGAAAACTGCAGAGCCTTGCTATTCTCTGAAGTAATCGTTGCCTACTTCCGCCTTATATTGGCAAATCAAGGAACTTTGTGCAAGGACTTTCCTTAAGGTCTCAATTGCTTTTTCAAATGATGACAATCACTTCGAACTACGTCGGGGACTTCAACGTAAAATATATACAATGCTGAATGATGGCTGTATGTGCAGGTGCTTGGTGATGCTGTTCTCAATCATCGCTGTGCCCAGAAACAGGTATATTAAATACTTTGTTTAGCAGCATGAAGTGTGAAATGTCGAAGGGTAGTCCTGCAACTTATTTGTTTGAGAAGCTGCAGTTTAGAAGGCCTTCTTAGATGTGCAGCCGCAGGGTCTCCTGAGTCTCCAGTTGAGCACAAGAAAGGAAAGTTTCAGTTTTGGCTATGCTTTTTGAAAGTTGATCGCGCTGAGAATACACTGTCCACAATCCGTATGTCCCCCGTATTCTTATCCTCTGGTGACCCAAACCCTCCAAGTCAGAAGCGGAATTTAGATAGTGTGGTTATCTTCTGAAGCACCTAAGCGTTTAGGGTTCAGGGTTTAGGGAATTCACATAAAGAGAGAGAGCTCAAAACGTATCGAGTCTCAAGTGCGTCGTCGTCACAATTCATTCAAGTGAACTGTCTAATTTATCCTAGACATTCAACTGTCTAAATCCGTCACTGAATTGTAATGTATAGTCTGAAGTGCAAGTGTTTCAAACAAACAAAATCAATATTTTAGGTAATGAGTATCTTTTACCAAGATACAGCAAACGACTGATAAATCCAATTGTATCTATAAATGCAGAGCCCGAATGGTGTTTGGAATATATTTGGAGGGAAACTTGCGTGGGGTCCAGAAGCTATTGTGAAAGACGACCCTAACTTCCAGGGCCGTGGAAATCCTTCCAGTGGTATGTTGTTGTCTGCGATAAGTTTTGACGCTTTCCCTTAGAACTTTAACTGCATTTCAGTTTAACTGGCATTTTGGAAATATCACTTTTATGCATCTTATACACCTAAGAACTTTTTCTTCAATTCTCAGGATTTGCGTGTATATTTTTACCCTCTCCTTTGATTGTCCGTGATTGACCCTCCAGGTTCTACTGTAATATAGACTGGTGTCTCTTCGGACTGAAAGTCTTCTGGAGATTTTTATCTCAGATGATTGAATCTAGTGCTCTTTATTGACGGTTTGATGTGTGCCTCTGGTGTTCACGTTGAACTGATTCGAGCTGTACTGTACTAGCATGCCTCTAGGTTATGGGCTGATGTCTGCAGTTTAAAGAATCCTTGTTTTGAACTTGTTCCATGATCTATGTTACCTACATGAACTCACGGAGATTAAGTCGTCCATGGAATTATACATCTCACAAAACTGCAGCCCTCTCGTTTGCCTCTCGTGCCAGTTCATTGGAGGTTATAGTCGCCACAGGCTGCCCAGTGGTTGTTCTAAAACTTGAACTCCTTTAGTTGAATTGCATGTTTTCGCTGTGTTAAGTCTTTACTTCCATCCGATGTTGTTTTTCTGAATACATGCCAGCGTTCTGTTCACCCCTACTTTGGTGATTTGATGTTATCTCTTATTATCCCGTCAGACATTCAGATAAGTAGATTGGCACATATTATTGTCTATACTTTCCCAACTCTTGGTATGGAGAATAAGAGCAATCTCGGTTTGAATATTTCACTAAGCAGTATATCCCTCCTACAAACTTAGATCTCGTATATGGGAGCTATTGCATTTAAATGAGGAAGTTTACCAAGAATAGTATACCTTCTTGATAGGATCTTCATATCTTGATTCTGAGTATGATGTTTCAGTTTCATCAGTTGCTTCATCTTTAATTCTCAAGGTTTGACTTTCAATTTAGTTTGAATGCTTCGATGTCTTAGACTTGTCTCCTTGTATGTCTTTTAGCTAAATCTTGCATCAGCATTTGCATTCTGACAAAAGCCTTTTCAGGTGATTTTTTTCATGCTGCTCCCAACATCGATCATTCTCAGGACTTCATTCGGAGAGATATCAAAGAGTGGATGAAGTGGCTGAGATCCGAGATAGGCTTCGATGGATGGCGCCTTGATTATGTTAGGTGTGTATGTTGGATCCAGTTTCATTTTTAAGAGCCGTAATCTTTTGTGGGAGATATAAAGGAAGGAGAGGGATCCATGTGTGAAGAAATTGTACTGCATTTTTTCTAGTGTGACATCCTTAAAACCATAGACCCGTGAGTTGGTGACCCTGCTTGAGCGATGACCATACGTCTAGAAAAAGTTCAAATTGTTCGTTCTTCTTTGATCAGTCGGTGATACCGTAGTAAATAGGAAGGAGTTCGTCTGTCAATTGCAGTCTTACGATTTGTAACCTAATCCGTACTTCAGATCACAATCGGCTCGTTCTTTTGGTAATGAAAGACATCCCATCGGTTGTCCCGGTTGGTCATTAGGTTGACCGCGATGCAAAGTCTTGGGTACTTTTTGGATACCCATGGTTATTTTTTACTGACTAATTCCTATACTTCGTTCATTGTGGACAGAGGATTTTGGGGTGGTTACGTCAAAGAGTATATTGAGGCTACCGACCCCGCATTTTCAATTGGGGAGTACTGGGATAGTCTGGCGTATGACGGTGGGCAGGTGAGCTATAATCAAGGTAGTATCTCGATTCTTCTTCCACCTATGAATGTTCTGAAATCGACCGTTTTGTGCTGGTTATTGCCTCTTCGTCGAGCTGGTTTTAGAGCTGCACAACAGTTGGCATCTCCAATGTTCTACTAGGTGTTTCTTGTAGGTGGTTCTAATTGGCTGGATTTAGTCACTTCATTAAACAAAGATGAATGGATAATTTTTCAAACAATTTAGTATCCTGATCATATTGTCATGCTTTCCAACAGCGTGCTTATTGCTCTCAAAAGATGTAGTACTTAATGTTTTGATGTGATTCTTGTCAGATTCCAATACGGAAATTTGTTTCAACGGCTGACCGAAATAACGTGATTATAATGTCACAGATGCCCATCGTCAGCGTATTATCAATTGGATAAATGCAACGGGCGGTACGTCATCCGCTTTTGATGTAACAACCAAGGTATAATGATTTTCTAATCATGATATACGTTAGTATTCAATACTGGGGATGTTATCATTTTTAGCCTCCTCAGAATTGAGTCAGGCTAAGGTATAGAGATGTACTACTTAATATTCTTACTGGAATGTAGACTAGGCTGCTTCGATGTAATGCACTGGGTAACTGAAAACGTGAGATTGAGAACCCGCCTTTACTCAAAACAGCAGACAAGTGTAAATTAATGCTCTCAAACAAGGTGGCGGAATCTACACATACAAAATCTAGGAGGCTGAGTACTTTTTCTCGCTAGAATTCCTTCCATAGGTTGAAACTCGATCAAAAGCTTGACTTATGTATTGTGCTGGTATTCGTTCCATACAAGACAGTAGAACTCTTATATTTGTTGGTTGAATTGAAACGAAAGATAATCGCCTTCGTCTGTTTCCGTGTATCCCATGGTTTGCAGGGTATTCTTCATTCAGCCCTACATAACGAATACTGGAGGTTGATTGATCCGCAAGGCAAACCTCCTGGTGTTATGGGATGGTGGCCATCACGAGCAGTAACTTTTCTAGAAAATCATGATACGGGCTCTACCCAGGTATTTATCCTCTTCCTTGTGCTTCTACTCTTTGCTAGTTTGTCTAAGAGTTTATTTGTCCTTAGCAAGAACTGTTGTTATCTCAATCTTCAACTCGTGCAGTGTTAAGAAAGGGAGACTCACTGACAGGGCAAAAGCAGGAGAAAAACATTAAATTAGCAGCATGGTTTCACTTCCTTCGCGGCTATGGTAGAAGAGTCACCCTTTAAAGTCAATGGGCATGTCTAAACGACGAGATATGCCTAACATCAATACAGATTCACCATTATCTTTCTATTTGGTACCGCGAGTTTCACTGTATCCACGGACCCGTGAAAAGAAAATGACACCTGCCAAGAGTTCGCTGAATAAGGTAAAGGACATAATGAAGTAAACAAAATGGACTTTGGAATCAGAACTGTTGGAGCAAGAGGCATCTTTGAAATCTTGTTGTGACGGAAGCTGACTGCAAACTTAGAGCAAAACAGCAAAGAGGAAGCTAAACACATCGTATCTCTCCTTTTCTGTACTCATCCCGAATTTTGGGGTTTCATTCGGGTTCCTTTCTTCGATTCTGGACTAGTTCTCAAGTTCCGCACAGGTCAACAAACAACTTCTAAGAAACCAAGAAAGGTGGAAGAGTTAGGGGATTCTCTCAATGATTAGTGAAGAATATTCCGGTTGACACTTGGAATGAAATCTTTCTTATCAACCCCGATGTGGCTCTCTACTCTGCAATGTCCTCTTTATTTATCCTCCTCCATCCTCCCTCCCTCCTGCCTGTCTACTCGGTCATTAGCCCAGCCCAGCCAGGGTTCTATGGTCGTTACTCTGGGATAAGTGAGTGCGATTACACAGAGTCCCTATGGACCTACTTTCTTGGACTTCTTCAACAACCATGTTTCCCTCATTTGGTCTTAATGTCAGTAATTAAATTATCGGGTCCCCTCACTCGGGTAAATTCGCAAGTTGATTACAGTTATGTTTCTGTGGTCTCGATACTGTCTGACTGTCCTAGATACGTCTTCCGGTTCGTACTGTTCAAAGGATTTGCCTCCGGTCAGTGCTGACTGGGTTACCTGATCTCATTACGATTACTTCCATGTTTCATTGTATTTTGTAAATATTAGTCAGCATGCCTGTTTAGAACTATTCTACTATATTTGAAGTTTATCTTTAACACGCGACGAACTATTTATAATGCCAAGGTTAAGATATGAACACTGAATCTCTTATCTAAGGTTATTCTGACAGTGGTTGTCGGTCTTCATTCCAAAATGGGTATTATCCATATTCCGAATTTGTAAAATTATAAGGTTTTAACCGGTTGCTTAGCCCGTCACTGACAGTGTTTGTTAACTTGAATTTTGTATCTTCCAGGGTCATTGGCCTTTCCCTCGGGATAAGTTGATGCAAGGCTATGCTTACATCTTGACACATCCGGGAACGGTGAGTGCCTCGTCTCTAACTTGGATATAATTTCTCGGCGTATCTTTTTCTAACACTGGGTGACAAATAGCAAAAGCTATAATATGCATTGCTCCTTGCAGAAGGGTGAGCTTATCATAAATTGTCATTGATTTGTGCAGCCTGTCATCTTCTATGACCACTTTTATGATTTTGGTCTACATGATCAAATAGCGGAGCTCATCGCCGCCAGAAAGCGTACAGCTGTCCACTGTAGGAGCCCTGTCAAAATCTTCCATGCCAACATTGAAGGTTACGTCGCTCAAGTTGGCGAAAACTTGGTAATGAAATTGGGCAGGCTTGACTGGAACCCCTCAAAGGAGAACAACCTAGCTGGATCTTGGGAGCGATTTTTGGACCGAGGATCAGAGTATCAGCTGTGGGAGCGCAAGTAGACTGGTCTCGAAAGCCGGAGGCTTCAGAGACGGATACTAAAAGTCCCTTTTCTAGATACTTACGGCCGCAAATCTTCAGGTCTGCCTAAGATCAACTCTTTCTCTTCTGCGAGTAATTAGAACATCCGTTGCGACCATGCAGTATTTAGTTCGTTCATCTTTGACTTCTATCATTTTGTAACCGTGGTAAAGCTTTTACATTGCTGTATTATTATTGGATAAATGTTCCATGCAGGATCCACAAGGAGTCATCTGCTCTTTTGTCCTTGTATCTTCAAGAGATTTGAGAGATTTCACAATCCTAAGACTTGTTTTCGTGTATGCATACATTTGTGAACAAAATGAGAAATGTGATTCTCTTGATTGATCCATGAGATGTGAGACAAACAATCTTTGACTGAACCACAAGGAGCTAATCTTGCAAGTTTCAAATGACATAACTATATTTTACAGTTAATCGAGAGCTTGGTTAGCTCAACTAGGTCTGTCAGTCTTCGAAATTGGAAGGCACTTCAATGTCTCTTCCATTTACATAGAGGAAAATAAATCCTTTGTGTCATTAAGGGGAATTCTTTTCACTAGATCCATTCCATTTTCATTCATTGCAATATACAAGTGCACTGAATATTAGAAGTGTGTTTCTTCGTAGGACATTCATTCAGACCTGTACATCACTTATAATGATGCCGAAGATGTGACATATGATGTATACTTCAAATCCAGAAATGTGTACATTAAACCCGAGACATGGAGTCATACACAAGCTAATAAGAAGATGGAAATTTAATAAATTTTTGAACGAAGAGCAATTCCAGGAGTCAAAAATAGAATTTCGTGAGGCTAGGGCCAAATGAAATGAATGACTTGTTGGTTAGAAGAGCTTGTGCCAATTTGATAAATTCGAGAGAAAAAGTTTGTTAAATTAGCTTCATAACTAACGTCAAATTCATAACTACACTCACAGTTACGACTGGCATGTAATAATGTGACCGTAGCTTACGGTCATACTATACAGAAACGAACGACCACTTACTTTAAAAAGTTAACATGATGCAAGTAAAATGATGCATTAGACTTGCGCTAACACGTCGATCGAGTATAGAGAATGCGATTGTTTTCGACTCCCACAATTCCATAAATTCGTTTTCTTTCATAGGGGGTCTACCTTCTGCTGTTGGACGCGGTTACAATAATATTTGTGGTACTTTTCGTGTCCTTGAGTCATGGCCGGACCATAATTCAAATTTTTTTGATTCGATTGGCGCAGGGGTTATATTCTTCGTTCTCATCATTCCATTGCCACTAGGTTCAATTGTGGAACTCACAGCCGGAGTTGTAAATACGACAGTGGAGAACATGCATTACTATGGAGAACCGAAGAAAAAAGGATTCGAATATCTCACTTTTGACTGTCTTGTGTAGGCAAAACTCAAAGGTTGCAGAGTTGATAAGATCAGACTCATTTACACCATTGCCCCTGCAGCTTGCTAAGTGACCGAGGCATGACAAACGAGTCCAATAAGTAATTGATGGTTAAAACGGCTAGAGCACTTATCGCAGTGGAAATCTGCGTGTTCAAAGTAAATCACGGCAGGTAAATAACCTCCTGAAGTCCTAACAGATAAGAAGCTCAGGGACTGCTTCAAGGCATGCAGGGGACAAAAGAAGATACCCCGCTTACAACACAACTGGAATTCCAAATCTATATTGAATTCAATGATTTTGAAAGCTGTAGAAATCAGCCTCATCTACTCTAAGGAGATGGTCTCTGGTGAGACCGGCGGTGAAAATTTACTTATACAGGACGTATCTTCTCGAGAGGGACTTTAAAAAATTCCCAGCTGACAAATCTGGAAATGACTAGAACTTTACAGTCGTAGGCAAAAAGAACATATAAAATGTCATTTCCTCTCCGTAGGTAACGTTGAAGTGTGCCTGATTGCGAGGCCCGGTACGAGAATCCCAGAAAAAGAGTCTTCAAAATGCACAGGAGATGCCACATGTTCAAAGGCCAATTTCGCTCAAAAGCTGGACTCAACCTCTTCAAACCCTGTCTTTCACCTTCAGGTTATCTCCACAAGTCCCCACGAGCTCGTGTTTAGATAGCCATGAACTTGACAGTTTGAAAAACTCAACAATCCGTTGGTCACAACCAACTTCACTTCAGCCGACACTCACCAAGTGAAGGGGAGGGATATGTGACCAGATACTGATTTCAACTCACTCCGCAACAAGTAGCTGCTTTGCTTGTGGAATAATATACAAGCTCAATCACGTAAATGGATTGGTTGGACAGACGCATCAAATTGGAGACTGATAAAGGGCTAGAGAGAAAGAGCATGGAAAACCTCGCACGCAGATACATCACTAATGATGGGCTCTTATTCACAACATTCTCTACTTGATTATTTGTGACAGTGCTTCTAGAAGGTAAATCATGCTGTTTTCTAAATGTCACAGTGACTTCTTCAAGTGAGGACCGACTCTTATGGTCGGTGCTCAACTGTGATGAGTCCAACAAGGTACGTTACGTTCCCGGATACAGTAACTTCTCCGAGTGAGTGCCAACAGTTCTAAGAGGAACTCCAACTGCGATGCATCCAATAAGGCACGTAACGTTCCTGAATTCAGGACGTGTATTTTGTACCGCGGGGCTCAAGAGAGTGAGAACCTCGCTTTGTGGTAACGACAATGCACCGGAATCACAGGGATACCCTGCTCAAACTCTCCCACAAAACATTGGACCTGTCATTGCAAATGTGGAAAACTGTGAATGACGCAAGCTCTGATGCAACTCTGACCTCCAAATCAGCCTAACAAGGATACCGTGACCCTAGTCCTCTAAATCTCCAATTTTTGCCGCAATGACTGATACAGTAACTCACAGATTCCGGAGCATACCTGCATGTTGGTCTCTAAAGTATGCTGGTCCCCCAGCTTTCAACATGATGCCTCAATATGATCTCCTCAACCCTGTCATCCCTTAATATAATGAGATGAAGCCATCTCCTGTGATGGGATTGCTAGCCTCTGTCCAGCACACTTCGTAAAGGCACATCTCTATTCCACGGAGCAGCTTATCATCGAAAGATTGATGTGCCAAACGAGATGAAGCCATCCTTGTACTTAAGACCGAACTCGTCCGCAACCTCCTGTAGTGATACTTGTTTCTTACTAACTAAGTCAATACCATAACTCAAGCCAGAAACGTTACTCCATGAGCTTGAAAAAATCTGTATGGCCTACGCGACAACCTGGGCAAAATTCCGTTGACCTTCGTCAAATCAAGAGCTCGTCAATGTCCCGAATGTCCATTTGAAACAGGTGAAACAGGTGAATTACCCAGTGAAGACCTGCAGGACAAATGGACATCCTCGTCATCAGTCATTTCTACGGAGGTGACCATACGACTTAAGCTGACCTGAGCGTCGCCATGTCCTGCCAAGTTAGCGTCGTTACAATTTCTACGAGATTATCAAGGCTTATATCAACTGTGCCTTGATTTCATAAAGAGAAAGGTCTAGGTGGGAGAGACAAACCTAGAAGAAAGTCCAGAGGATTTGGTGAAGTCACCAGATCGCTCCTCAGCGATAGTATGAAGACTATTAACTACCATCTGGGGGTTCAATTGACCCGAGTTCGTTGGTGTTATGCTGGTGGCTACGAACTTGTGCTGGAGAAGCACAGTCGCGGACGGTCTTTTAGATGGATTGACCTCCAAACATTGTTCTAGAAAATCTTTGGCATCATCTGAGAGTTCCTCCGGTATTGGGGGAGCTTCACCATGACCCACTTTCCACAACACCCGATACTGTACACAACAATCAAACATTCAAAGATCCGCCTCAGGACAGAAACAAGGACACATCCAAAAAGGTCAGTGATCTGCAAAAATAACAGTAATCCGCAGTACTGTTAAGCACCAATCTCCACACTAAGCTCGCATCCTACTATGTGCAACTGCAAACCAACGATCCCAGTCAATAATCCTATGGAATCTTGGACCCATCTATGACTACCTGCTTGATCTTTTCATCTGCTCTTTTATGTGGTTTGCCTATTCATCATATGAATAACACTGCAGGCATTGCAGTAAGCTAAAAAGGTGTTCAAGGCGTACTCACCCACTCCTGATCCCCGAAGGGAGGACTACCCGTGAACATTTCTAACACAGAGCACCCCAAACTCCAGATGTCCGCCGGAAGCCAATACGTCTTCTTCGGATCGATGACCTGTGTAACACCAAAGCATCTAAGAATTGCATCGTCTCAAAGACTGGACGACTCGAAACCAATGCTAGCAACAAGAGCTCGCGCGATCAAACTTTGCTCCATGTTTTAAACATAGAGCGCGTAGACTATGAACACTTCATTGACACTCACCTCGGGAGCCATCCAATAGGCGCTTCCTTTGCAAGATTTCAGCTGGTCCAATGCAGAAATCTGCAGGCAATACAAAAAAAAAGATCAATATCGTTAGAGAGACGAACTCTTCGGGACGTCTAGAAGGCATTAAGCTCTGGATTTGTGATAGATAGAATGGTAGTACAAACAATATCCGGGACACGATATATGGCCAACAACTCGTAGAACTAGAAATAAAACTGAATACTACCCATGAGAACGACTGATCCATTGGACTTTGCGGTCTCTTGCACCAAATCTGAAATCTCACCTGTTTAGCCAATCCAAAATCAGCAAGTTTGCACGTTCCCCTCACATCTACGAGAATGTTGGCACATTTGATATCCCTGCACGTGTGAAAAAATTAACACCACAGCTGAAGATTGTTTACATAAAAAAACAAAGAAACGAGTAACAAACCCCAATCTTAGAAAGATGTAAAGACAAAAAATGAGCGTATGTACCTGTGTACGATATTCATGTCATGCAGGTACTTGAGACCCTTCAAAATTTGCCTTGTATAGGCGACAATTTGCGAATGCGTCAATTTGAACTTTTTGCATAAAGATGCGAGAGAACCCTTGCTAACAAGTTCCAGAAAAATGTACAATTTACCATCCGCCTGTACACAAGCCATTCATGTTCGGGTAAGCATCGATACGATGGACTACAGACCCACCACATGGACAAGCTAAAAAGGAAGACAAATTATAAAATACTGAAAGCTACAACCACACGCTCTTTAGCACGCAAAAAAATATAATTTACTACTTTAATAACCTGAGGCTTTCATCAGAGCGGAAGCAAAAGTTTGATGGAACCGTACCCTTTGCGTACCGAGATATTGTACAATATTATCATGTTTGAACCGGCTCAGAAGTTCGATCTCCTGGAAAAGAAAAGTCATTTAAACACGTTGAGTTAGCTCGGCATGGTACAAGCCTTTTTAAATGTAACGGCCTCGTGACGAAAAACTAAAAAAATATATAAATGCGCTACTTTTATGAATATATGTTTGATGGCCAATCAACACAATGGCAAGAGCGGTTTTACCTGTTCGAGCTGGGAGATACATTGTTGTGCCTGTCTGTCAGTATCGGTGAGAGAAACTTCTTTAACTGCAAAAAAACTACCATTACTGCGCCAAGCAACGAGGTTCAGTTGTTAGACAGTGTAGCGCACCCACACTGAACCCTAAAATCAACCGACACTCAACATAACATTGGCTTCTGGAACCACCCAAAGAGTCCAAGAAAACAATACATTTCATACGGTTTCATGAACTCGCCTCGTTCGTAAAATAACCTCCTCTAATTACTGAAATAACAAAACTATAAATAAAATCGACTCGGCTCTTTCACCATCGCTGCTAGCATCCCAACCGGCCATTTCACATGGTGCCGCACAACGATCAATTTCACATGCAAACGCAACGAACAACCTCCTGAACAAATCCCGGTCCCGCTTACTCCCCGGGGAGAAGACGGTGAGAGTGTGTGCATGAATCAAAGACGATGAGCTTTTCCGGAGGGCAGGGAATGGTACCTGTCAACTGCCTCATAGACCGTTCCGAATGATCCGGCACCGAGCAGATCGCCCTTGCTCCAGGGAAAGGTCGGCGTTTGGGGCCGTGTTTCATAGTCCGTCACCGCGCTCAGGTCCAGCAGGCCCCCGTCCACGGGGACGGGGGACTGCGTCAGGTTCACTGACAGGGAGTCCTCGGAGGGGGCAGAGGGGCCGTCGGGACTCGGTTGCAGCTCCCCGTTGCTCTGGAGCTCGGCGGCGGGCCGGCCCTCGGCCGTGCCGTCCCCTGCGACGCCCGGCGCGCGCGAGTCCGGGCCGGCGGCGCTGCTGCCATCGTGGGAGACGACGGCGATTTGGACGGCCGAGGAGGGATCGCGAACCTCGACGACGAGATCCTGAGGCGTGTGGACGGATTCCGCCGTTTGGCCCACGACCGCATTGTCTCGCGACGGGGGAGAATCGACCGAGTCTTCGTCGTTCGGAGGGCCGTCGTCGTCGACGTCGCTGTCCGAGGGCGATTGCGGCGCTCGGACGACGTCGACGGGCGCCAATGCAATCAGGAGGTCGTGAGTCGAGAACATATCGGGGGCCAAATCGTGTAAATTCAACGGAGGGGGCCGGTTCAAGGAGCCCGGCCTGAAATCCGCCATGGCTTGCTTTCTGTCGGAGGCCCTTTGCTCCGGCGACTTGTCTGCCCTCGGAGACACCCGGAATTCACCGCTGCCATCGCTCGATGATCTGCTGGATGAATCCACCAATCTCGGCATCGCCTCTTCTCTCGGGGCAACCGCAGCTGCTGCCTGTGAAATGTCTGGGCTACCACGTTGGCCGGGCAGCGGTCTCGTGACGCGAGGTAAGCCTCGCGACAGGGACCCGGTGCTGGATTGCTCGTCGCGAGGTTGCCGGGCTTCTCGAGAGATAGGCGACGGCATGTCGGCGGGCGTGACAGGCTCACTTCGGACGCGTTGAAATTGCGCATGGGGATCCAAAATCTTGGGACCTAAGAGTGAGCCCTGGCGACTCCTGAGCTCAATACCAGAGCTCGGGTGGGGCGACATTGGCTTACTCGGAGCGGCGGGCAGAGAATTACCACGGCGCCAGAAACGTTGCGACTGTTTCTCCGGCTCAGGTCGATGTTTCTCGATAAAGCTGGCCACAGCAAGTGCGTCGGCGTCATTCTTGCGCTTCGATGGCGACTTGCCCAATCCATCGAGTCCGGCCTCTCGATCCACTGATGCACCCTTGCTTCGACTCGGCGAATCGCTTGACGCGCAGCTCTCCCGTGACGTCGGTGCACTGGACGAGTTCTCCAGTTCAGTCGGTCTGGAAGAGACCACGAACGTAAATTCCTTTTCCTCGTCCTCGGCATACCGAGCATCGCCTCTGGGAGTACTAACCCTCGGGCTATCCACGCCCCTCGCTTCGTCGCCAATCACCATCGAAGGATCGCCTGCGGAGGAGTCGAATGGATGGCTGGCCATCGCAGCGTTCCAAGCTTCTGGGCTGATTCCCAGAGATGCAGGTCCCCCGAGACCCAGAAACTCACACACGACTGTGATCTCCTCCACGCTATGTGGTCCCGACACTCTGTAATCCGACCAGTCCTCGCGAGAATGGCTGGACGACTCCGACCCATCGTGCGAAGAATAATCTGAATCCCGCGCAGAATTGTAGCTGATGTCCTTTTTCGCATTCCGCCTATCCAATCGTCGTCCCTTTCCTCCACCACCACCACCTTTGAGTGGATACGCCCTTCTCACAGTGTCCATGATACCCTTCCTGATTTTCCTGGACTCCAGTGTTTAAAATGATATGTACCCTAATTCTTCTTCACCCATCGGTTGTCCAAGGCAGACTCGTACAACCCAATCGAATCTCGGAATAGAAGCCGATGCTCTTCACGAATCCGTGGTGGTACCTGCTGTTGCGTGTCCCGATTCCTGCCTAGCATCCTCGCTCTACCATAACACACGACGTTAGCCACCATGGCCTGCCCAAATTCCATTCGCAAAGGAAACCCTCCCGGCGAAGCCCGAGCCCTCGTTGGCTCCGCATCTGTACCTGGACTGTACTAATAGCACACCATCGGCCGCCATGGCTACAAACGCATCTCGTCGTTCACCTCGTCCTCCTCTTCTGCTGCTCAGCAGATCCGAAATCTGCTCTGCTCTCGCCCAGCTCTTCCTGCGACCTCGACCACCATGTCCAGTACATACACGCCACGGTTACCCTGCCCACTGCCCACTGCCACTGCCACTTGCAATTCCGCCCCTTCAATGTCAGCCCTGGACCCTTTCGTTGCTCTGATCCTCACTTACCCCTGCCTCATCTCATCTCGTCCCATCCCATCTCACCTCACCTCACCTCACCTCACCTCACCTCCGGCCTGCCTTTCTTTCACCTGGTTCTATGTACAAATCTCCCTCTCCCTCCCTCTCTATTTCTCTCGTCGATTTCACGGACGGCCCGGCTGCAAGTCCACGCTCGAGCTTCCTCCGCTCCTTCCCCTCGCAGAATTCTGTCTACAAGGAACAGATCCACACAAACAACAACCAACCGCAAAAAGAAAAGCACACCGTCGCTCGAAAGAATTGACGCTCGGCTTTGAGCGAACGACAGGAGCCTGCCCCTCGTCTCTGTTCTTCCCTTCTCTTCTCGTCCTTCCGTCGCTTCTTCGTCTACTTCGTCTTCTTCGTCTTCTGCTTCCCTATCCTCTTGCCACTCGAAGTCCAATCCACTCCACCCCACTCCACTCTAGTCCGGCGAAAAGGTTCCTCACTGTCTAAGGCCCGCTTGCCTTCGACGATGCCGCGAAGGTCTTCGCTTCGGATGATGGTGAACAATGACCATGGACAGCCTTCAATCAGCGACGATCCACCTCATCATCAGCAGTGCTGTCTGCCTGTCCGTCCTTCGGCCAGGCAGAGGCGATCGAACGAACGAACTAGCAAGCACTAACTCTACACTCTCCACTAATTACTCCTCCCTCCCATCCCCTTTCCTTCCCTTCTCTTCCCTTCCCTTCCCTTCCCTTTCTGTGCTCTTCTCTATTGGAGACCAGCACTTCAGCGGGCGCTCCTCATGAATGACTCGATTCCCAGCCCGCCTCCTCTCCTTTCCCCCCTTCCCCTTTCCCTTCCCCGCTCCCTACTACCCTTCCTCTCGCTGCGCTTCTCCTCATCATTCCGGATCATCGAATCGCGCATTGACCTCCCCAACCAGCCCCGCCAGCCGTTGCGCAGCTCAGATCAGCTCTCCTCTCCCCTCCCCTCCCCTGCCCTCCCCGCGAAGTAGTCAAGCAGAAGAAGCGAGCCCCATCCCTCGTTCGCCTCTTTCCCCTCGTTCCCCTTTCCGCTCAAAAGCGACGAAGCAGTACAGCGCACGAAGGAGGACGGGGATGGAGACTGACCGCGCCAACCAGAGCTAGGTCCAAGCCTGGCTCCCGGGGCCGGGGGCCGAGGGCCGAGCTGGCCCGGCTCGGCTCGGCCCGCTCCGCGCTGCCAAGTCTCCGCTGCCTGGCAAGCTACATGTAGCTATGAGCTCAGCAGCAGCTCGCCTCGCCTGCCCCGCTGGCAGGTCCTTCGAGCGCCCGCGATGTTCGTCCCGCTCGTGCTCTCTATAATAAGGGAAGCTCTCGAAACGAACGACCTCGTGTCGGCTTTCGACGCCCGGGCCCGTCTGCCCCGTCCGGTCCCAGAACTTCCCGGCAGCTGCCGCACCCGGGCCCGTCTTCCCCGTCCGCCTTCGGTCGCGTGCTCCGTGATACCCTGAGCTGGGCTCGGTATAAGGACCCCGGGGCGGTCCAGTCATCCGCTCGCGTGGCATCTGTACGGTCTCGGGCTCCGACCTCAGCGAGCAGCGAAGGTCTCGCCTTCGCGACGGGACGTGATTCATCACTTCGCGAAGGAGATTCCGGATTAGGCCCCAGCATTCCCTCCCTGACCATTCGCGTTTGCGTTTCGACGTCACGCTCGCGACTGGATGAATCGCCGATCGCATGCCCGGCTTATACTTTCCATCATTTCGCTCCAGAAGGCCCGTACCGTTATGCCTTGTCGCACGTCGACTTCAACGAGAACCTGCTGGCTCTTCGTCAGTACAGAAACTCCGCCCTCGTACCGCTCGAGTGAGAGAGTGAGCGAGCGAGCGAGCTAGTGAATGAATGAAGGGAAACCACTTATGTCAACAGACCGAATCGCTTCTCTTCTCATCCTCGGCACAATTGCGTGCACGACTTCGCCGCTCTGAAAGCCTTCCGGTGGCTATTTATGTGTTCCTCGACTCGCGGAAGAGGAACAACGGACAAGTCAACGAGCATATTCACAAGCATGAGCATTAACATTGCATCGTCGGTGTAAGGATTGGTGTAGACTCCGATTGACGCTGAGATTGACATTTTCTTCGGAACCGGGACGTTTCAGTTATTCTTAGGTAGGAAGTGTGGAGCGATCGCTCGAGTGGCTGACGAGAAGATCGGAAGCACTTCGTTTCGGTTCGTTAGTTTCTGGTGGAGGAGGAGAGGAGGAGGAGGAGGAGGAGCCAGAGTACTCGAGTTCTTGTAAGACGAGGAACTGTGTCTCGACTGCGAGCTGGAAAGAGTGCCAGAGGAAGTCCAATCAGATGAGCCACTGTGACATTTGGCGCCCTCTGTCCCGTATGCATGCAGGTCCTCCGGAGCTCATCGATCCCCGAGAATATGCCTCCGAGGCATGAGATCTGGGGCGTCGGATCGTCGGATCGCCGGGACGAGCCTGTTCCCAGGACCGGACCGGCGTGGACCTTGTCTAAGAGTGGGGGGACATTTGGCGAGCACCTTGTGGAGAATCTCGTCTTCTTTAGCCGGAGGAGGTTGAGTTTCACGCCTCCGGCAGCTAGAGTAAGCAGATCGGAGTCGGACTGGACGAGCTCGGAAAGGCTTAGTTGATGTGCATGTGACGAAATCAGCAACCGGTCAGCTCAGATCAACCGAACCGGCCGAGTCTCGGTGGTCACTCCGAGATGGGGCCCGCCCGGCCTCTCTCCTCATACCGAGCTCGAAAGGACACAAGTTCCACAAGGATAACAGCCGACTGGATCGGGCCGCACCGATAATCCTCTTGGCAGACGCGGATCCCTTCTCGATCCACCTTCGCTCCTTGAACTCGTCGTGCATAACAGACTGTCCTTCACCGAACGAGGTAAGGATCAGCGCAGGAGAGGCAATAACGTCGTCTCTGTGCTGGTGGGAACAAAAGATCACCGCCACAGAATCAGCTGGTGTACTTACTTGGGTCGACGTTGCATATATAGATATATATATTATCACGAACTGCAACTAGCAAGACGAGGTCGGAGTAAAAGACGCATGTTGGGACGCACAAATATGTCGTTGCTTGTAGACTACCGCGGGGATTTCCGGGCCTCTCACCTTTTCGCCGGTCGAATCTCCGCTCTCGCGTGTTTAGTGGATGAGTGAGCACATACCCGATCTTAATATAGATGGCTCGAGTACGCGTAGTCCAGGCTCAACTGAAAACCCCCGATTCTTCGAGGCCCATTTTTTCTCTATGATTCAGCTTCTGGACGAAATCTCGAATGGAGTGAGAGGAGCGATGGGAGACGAAGGGGATGATGAGCGCAGAGTGGGGATAGTGGGGGCCGACAGCGGATGCCGACCAGATCTCCGCATTCGTAAGAATCCGTCATTCTGACGCATACGCGGCGAGGATGGGCGCTGATAATTTCGGCGGCCGCAGAGCGGAGAATCGGTCAGTGTTGACACAGGACGCACCGTTTCTCCGAGAGTCCGTCACGCGAACCCTCGGGACGCCCGAACCGCCCTCGGGTCGCTCCCACCTGGCACTGGCCAGCTTTCAAACGTGTCGACCGACTCAAAACCCGCGCGCGGCCTCTCCCGGTCAAACCATCTGTACCGGACGCTCTAACTGTCGGGTTCCCCGGTCAACAGATCCCGTCCTGCCCTGTGGCCATCCCCGCATTCTCCATGCCTCCGTCTGCATACGAGGCGAACTTTGGCTCGTCCCCTCCCTCTCTCTCTCTCTCTCTCTCTCTCTCTCTAACTCTCCCTCCCTCCCTTTCGCTCTTTGACCTCTAGCGATCGTGGACGTGGACGTCCCCGCTTGCCTCTGACCATATCTGGTGTGAGATCGACATAACCACCAGCCAAAAAGTCCTGCAATCTTTCACACGATCCAGATCCAGATCCTTCTTCCTCTTCGCTGGCGGTACCGAGAGCCAAATCAGAAGGACACTGAGGCCAGCCAGCGAAATTGCATGAAGGAATTGGCACATGTGCACTCGTTTCCTTGGAGGAAACATTTACGCTCAATTTCTTTGACGTTTGAGCTCAACTTGCGAAGGTCGGTTCTTTCGCTCAAACCCCAAACATGTTGCATATTGTATATACTTTAGATTGTACAACAATACTTATACATGGGCATATGTAATAAAGGTTCATTTGTAATGGATATCATAAATAAATATGTATTTAATTGATTTTATTATTTATAATAAATTTGTTCGCAAGTTGTATAATTACGTCTTGAGTTTTACATGGTAATAAACAAGGGATAGTGCTTTACGATCATAATAACGTTACTCTACTACTATATTTTAGTCATATCTATCTCTTAACTATTCTACATACTTTGTATCCATTTATTGAGAAAATCATTCGCCCGGTGCAATCCATAAGAAAAACATGATGATCTGTTGTGCTCATCTTAACACTTTGTAGTTATATATGGTTTGACCTAGATTCTTCGATGGTTTGGGTTCAACCAGTTCAACTATTAGGTATTTCTCACATATTATTGGGGCCAGCCCCATGTTAGACGTTTGGTGTCATCATTGTTATATTTGACGTGTCCTACTTTTGGGTTATTTGAAGTATACGGTTTTTTCGCTACAATACCCCTTCTACCAATAGAGTATTAACATCCTGTGTCATAAAAGGTTGACTGTCTGATAGAAAAAGGAATGAATATGTGACAACAATTAGCTACCCCATAATAGCAGCCAATATGTAAGTAGCCGGGCAGAATGTCTTTCGTACAAAAGAAAGACCAGTACGCGGACCGAATGAGCAACGAGGACCAGGATATGGGCTCGAGTCCGACGACCCAGAAGAGCGAAGTTGACGCAGGAAAAGGAGCACTCGTCAAAATAAGATTTTAGCCTAATGCTATGCTTTCCACACAGAAATGGAATGTTTAGTACATAATGGACTCCCGGTAATCATCAGTCGACCTCATCCTCGCTCCCCAGCGTCTCCCCTTCCGCATTTCCCATCGACAAACCGGATCCACCGGCTGTCAAACCCACGGAAAAAAGAAAGGTAAATCACTTCGCTCTTTGACTCGCTGACATTGAAATCAAAGCTTACGGTGCTTCAGTAACTATCCCGCCCAGAGTTTGATCCCAGCAAGTACGCTACAGTACAGTATATTGCAGTATGTGGTAGGTTGGAAAGATTTAAGCACCGGGTTTCGATCTGAGTCGCTGTAGAATAATAGATGCTTCGTGCTGACTTCTCAGCTGCTTTATATTACGTTGACATATTGCACACAATCAATTGTGACACTGGCATATGGTCTAGAGTTGGTTTTGCAATTGTCACTTTGTGTTCTCTTGGCCATCGTTTGCCACACCACTATGACATTTGTTTGTACCAACGTGTAATTGTATGTACCTGGGAGACACTTAACTTCTCTCCACCGAAAATTAAGCGGGTTGCAACCCCTTGACTGCGTACATTAATCATCTGTCGACTTCTTCTGAATTAACTTATCCCACTTTCGTAGTTTCTCCGATATAAGATGGGCAAGGCCTAGAGCTATCTGAGGTCTCCTGTCACCGTGTATCATGAAGAGATGATAGTTATGTAATGATTTACAAATCAACATGTTTTAGTTTCTGATCTTCTTCAGTCGCATCATGAAAGATCGTCTGTGGTATTAGTCGATGAGCATCAGGGAACCCAACGTAAGAAAGCGCTGGGAAAATGCTGACATCAACAAAAAAGTAGAGTATACCACGGTGGACCTCTATATTCCAATTCAAATTATAATTCTGCCTGTACTTAGATGAACATCACCACCACTTTTCCATTATTCTTCAAGTTTAAGACTCTCTTGACGGGAATGAAGTCAGAGATATCATACAGATGTCTGATTCTCAGACTTGGACTAAACGCATCATAATGATTGAAGGACTTCAGGGCCTCCGCGTAAACCGAAAGTCTCAAGAGATTTCAAGAAACGTCGAAGAAGCTCAATAGGAGTT